GCTTGATGTAGAGGAAAACTTTTAAGATAACAGGAAAGTACTAGAGTTCATCTATTCGATAATATTGTTACTAGAGTTCATCTATTCGATAATATTGATAGAGCTAATAGCAATTGGATGGATCGTGATCGTGGTAGAACTTTTGACAAATTTCCTTTACTTTATCATTACCATAATATTCGTAAATGAAAAACTCATCATTTTTACTGTTTTTTTTTTTTGGTAAAACGCAGAACCCAACTTTATTACCAAAATTTCCCCTTGAAATTGTAATCGATTCCGATCAAAGAATTGATTAGAGACTTCTACAGCTAGAAGCTCCAGCTGTATTAGAGTGTTTAATGTAGGCAAGGCAAAGGCTGGCCAGACCAGGCCAAAGCTCGACTAGAAGCTAGGACAAACTAGATGATCGACTGTTTCATAGACCAAAATTCCTATTTTCCTTCTCAAATTTTCTCATTTTCCTTCCAATCTTGTGAAAATTTGAAAGGAGATCCCAAAAATGGGTGAAAACGAGGGTGAGAGTGAAAAAAGAAGGTCAAATGTCCCCCTTTCTTTTGAGAAGATATTCAGGTGAAAGAAACTGGACGATTTTCAGAGAGAGAGAAAAAAAAGGTGAAAGTGACTTGGTTTTGGATGAATGAGAAGAGAAAATTGAATGGAAATCTCCGATAGGGGAAAGGGGTTAGAGGGTGAAAGTCGTTCACTCCCTTTCATCCATTCAGAGGCAATCGCCTGAGGACGACCTCGTTCATTCACCGTTCTTCAGTTCAAATCTCTAGTTCAAAATCTCTAGCAAAGCCATCTCTAGCAAAAGCTGAATATCCCATCTTTTCATTGAACCTTTGATTTATACCTTGATTTATTAAACACAAGTTCTGAACGGTTTTGAACGGTTTTGAACTTGTTTTGAACTTGTTTTGAACTTGTTTTGAACTTGTTTTGAACTTTCAGAGTTCTGAACTGGTTCTAAACTTGTTCTGAAGTTCTAAACTTGTTCTGAACTTGTTCTGAAGTTCTAAACTTGTTCTGAACTTGTTCTAAACTTGTTCTGAAGTTCTAAACTTGTTCTAAACTTGTTCTGAACTTGTTTTGAACTGTCAAACTTCTGAACTTGAATTTCTTTATGTTTACTAGGAGATCTAGAAGATCTTTATGTTTACTAGAAGATCTAGAAGATCTTTATCTTTACTAGAAGATCCACTCACTTCTATATTCTATTTCTATTCTTTTTATTAATAAAAACCAAATACCATTTTCTTTACTCAATTGACTTTAATCAACAAAGCAAAAAGGAGAAGAAAGAAAGAAAGAAAAGAGGAATGTTTGTGGGAGAAGTGGTGCCAGCGTGTACCAATTCTTTTCAGTTCTCTTTTGATATGAGAGGACGGTTGTTTGTCCCAAAGGGGACCCTACCCTAGAGAGAAGCAGCTGCCACTCAGGGTTCACCAATTCTTTTCTTCTTTCTTTGATCAACCAGTCAACAACTTTTATCTAGATTCCCAGTTCGTTTGGCACATAAGCGTAAACAATCTTTGTGAATTGCCTTTTCAGCTTAGCTTGCCTTTACCGCAGGTTTGTCCTAGCTTCTAGTAGAGCTTTGGTCTGGTCTGGCCAGCCTTTGCCTTGCCTCCATTCCTAGCCTCCATTCCTGACCTCCATTCCTGGCCTTCATTCCTGACCTCTATTCCTGACCTCCATTCCTGTCCTCCTTTCCTGACCATCCAGGTTACTGTCATTCTTTTTAACAAATCTATTTTCTAACTATTTCTGATTTATACCCTCAAGTCTCCAACCGTTTTAAGCACTTTTCTTCAACCTCTATTGCAAAAATTGTCCGAAAAATTCCCCTTCACCTATTTGTCAGCATTTCCCCAATACAGACTCTATCAATCCAGCTTATCCTATCTCAGATTTCCGGTATTTGAAATTCCTGATTTCTTTCAAAGAAGGTATGCCCAGTAAGCCGGGATTACTGATAGTTTAGCACTGAGGAGCACAAAAAAAGTTCCACAGCTATGACACGTCTAATTTTATTCTCTCTGAATCTTCTTTATATCAAAGCATAATTGTCTTACAGTAATCGATCAGTTTAGAGATTAGCTGAATATCTTTAGCTGAATACCTTTAGCTGAATACCTTTAGCTGAATACCTTTAGCTGAATACCTTTAACTTTTCTCTATCTGATTAAGATATTCAGTAATGTAGTGAAGCGAAAGTGCTTCCGAAATTTGCATAGAGGTATGAAATTCGCATTTTTCTTCTTCTTCCCTTAACCATATATCAATTCCTGTATCAATTCCTATATCAAATTCTATAGCTTTGGCTATTTACTAGCACTTATCCTCTATGCATTGATACATAGAGGTCATTGATACATTTACTCTTCAAAAAGCCACCTGTTTCTTGTGAATCCCCACTAACAAGCGGTCTTTTTAAAGGCTATGAACATTCAATTGCTCTCGATCAGCTGCCAGACAAAGGGAAATAGAAAAAAAGGACTCATATTTAGATAGACTGAGAAAAGGGGTTCAAGGACATGCCCATCTCGGGTCAAAAATCTCTTCTAGGATTATCCCATGCATATCAGCGAATAGTTTTGCTTGTCATCTTGCATATTTACTGTTTCTTATGATATCTTTTTCTTTAAAATACCTTTCTTATCGGATATTTAGATCGTAGATTTCGATTGAATATTTAGATATCTTCAAACTTTGTCAGCTTCAAAGTCTTGATTTAAACCGTTCTTGGAATCTCCAGCTAGAAAGCTCCAGCTAGAAGCTCCAGCTATAAGCTTCAGCTAGAAGCTCCAGCTAGAAGCTCCAGCTAGAAGCTCCAGCTAGAAAGCTCCAGCTAGAAAGCTCCAGCTATAAAAGAGATCCAGCTATTATGCCATTAAAAAGTCATGAATTTTGAACGGCTACTTTTCACATTACCTTTTCGTAACTTGTCCTCGAAATTCGCCTATCTTCGAGTTCCGGTTTCCAGAAAAGAGAAAGGCTGAAAGGAAAGCCAGCTGGTGTCTTTCCATTTCCCCTCTCACCCCCAAGCACCATGGCCTATTTTTGACCGTTGAAGCCAGTTTTTCACCGTCTCTACCTCACATAGACCTCGAAATTTTTGCGTTTTTTTTAAAAGTTATCCAAGTGGACACCTCAGCTACTTCGTGAAAATAATTTCTATAATCTTTGTCTCTTTGTCTTTCTTTGTCTTACCATCATGGGTTCAGCTTGAAGGGTGTCTTACCATCATGTCTTACCATCAAATCTTTGTCTTACCATCATGGGATAAGCTTGAAGCGAAAAGTTCTCGTTTTGATCCTTTTTTGTAAATTAATTTGACTGTTAACTTTCTATTGTATCGAAGCCTATATTAGTATTAGATATTAGTACAATTGGCAATTGGCTGTGTTTGTAGGAGAGACTTTTTAGCATAATCAGTCTCTCAGTGTCACCATCACCCAATTGGAATATTCGGTTCTATTAAAAGGCGCTTTATTTATCACTAAATCGTGAGTGGGACAAATGCGACCTTTTTTTGCGCACCCGGACATTTGCGCACCTTTTTTTCCGCACTTAGCCCATTAGCGCACCTTTTTTCGTGTTTTAAAAAAGCTCTAAAAGCTAATATTAACCAATTTCTATTTCCAAAAGTTGTTTTTCTAGGTAATTTTGGGCGTAGAATCGAAATTTTGACATATCAGAGCTTGTGGAAGCGAACGGACGGAGTTATACAAAGAGAAAAATCAACAATCAACAATCAACAATTTTCTGTAATTTGATCTAGCCGTTTTGTCTTTCAAATTGGTTCCACACGCTCTGTTATGTCAAAATTTGAATTCGACACCCTCAAATTACCTAGAAAAACAACTTTTGGAATAGAAATTGGTTAATATTAGCTTTTAGAGCTTTTTTAAAACGCGAAAAAAGGTGCGCTAATGGGCTAAGTGCGGGAAAAAAGGTGCGCAAATGTCCGGGTGCGCAAAAAAAAAGGTCGCATTTGTCCCACTCCCACTAAATCATCTTATGCCTAAACATTTCTTTAAATAAGTGTATTAGATTGTTTGAATGATTGAATTCATGGCCCAGGAATTGACCCTGATAGCTCAGGACTCTGTCACTGATGGCCCTGTCATTCACTAGTCATACTATTGTGTGGTAAAGTACTTTACAGTAAAGTACAGAACTTTATAGTAGTTTACAGTAAAAATTAGCTTCATTGAATATCATAAAATAGCTCAACAAATGAAAAGATATTCAATCAATGAAGCTGAAGTTTTGAAAGCGATTTTTTTTTACTTTTACTCAAAGTTTTTTTGAATTCAAACTTCTAAACTTTTGACCTCATTGAATTTCGATGAAATTTTACGTTAAAGTCGGAAAGAATTTGTTGAATGAAACCGGTTTTTCGTAAAGGACAGAGGGAAATGGAGTAGAAACAAGCCCTTCACTAGGTCAATCGGCCCTTTTCCTCTCCGAAAATCTCTCTATCTTTATTTGCTTTACTCATTTTGGCAACAAACATAGGGCTTTTGAATTTTGAAACTTTTAATAAACTATTCTTCAAGCATTTTACTGTTAGAGTTCTGTTAGAGTTATTGTTAGAGTTCTGTTAGAGTTCTGTTAGAGTTACTGTTAGAGTTGATCATTTTACCCATTTTTTTTCATATTCGCTTTCCTTGTCTTTGTTTCTTCACGTGTTTCTTCATCTCCCGTTATTCTAAAGGCATTTTTATAGGCCAAAACAGGCTATACAGAAGCCAAACCCTGTCCCCAGCTTGCTAGAAGTCAAATCTGATTCAGATTTACAGCCAAAGCTTGCCTGGCTTGGACACTGACGTCGAACACCCGGCTCTATTCACCAGTTGCTGCTCTGACAACTCTAACGCTCTGCATTCCCATAATTTCTTGTCTAATACTGTCTTTGCTTTGCCGGGCAATCTTTGCCATGGCATTCTTCTCTTTTTCGTTCCGTTTTCCAATTTCAATCAATTCCAGAGATGGAGATCGATTCCCCTCCGCCATGCTCATCTCCATCAATGCACTCATCGCCAGTCTCTTCTCGTCTTTCCGTTGTTTGTTCTTTATCCGATCACTATTCAAGTCAAAGCAGTCCCCAATCATCGCCAATGTCGAGAAGGTTTATCGTATTGAAGATATTTTCGCAAATTTTCCATTTAGAAACTCGATCTCTGAAGCGCAAGAGACGTGGAGACGAGTGAAAGGAGTGAACAAAGGAAAGAGTCATCAGGTGAGGATTGATTGATTCATTGATTGATTCATTCATTCATTGATTCATTGATTCATTGATTCAAAAAGTCGGGAACATCAAGATTACAAGTAAACGAGATTACTGTGACCAATCTGTACTTCTTTACAATCAAACACTCCAAAAATTTCAACTTCCAGGTCGACATCGAGCATCGTTTGGCGGCATTGGCCCATGAAAACGAGCGCCTCCGAGCGCAACTTGAATCAACGAAAAATCGAGGCTCACTCCCATCAGCAAGCTCAAATGGAACAATTTCTGTTTTCGATTTGCCATTTGCCGGCACAACAGCTCCTTTGGGCCTGCCAGGGGGGAGTCAGCCAATTGATCCAAGTGCCATGCAAAAGTTACAGGTGAATCTAAAAATAAGCTTTAAAGGCATATAACTCTTAGACAAGACCGATTACTGTAGACATTTCTAGACAGATTACTGTAGTTTTTGACGCGTTTTAAAAACCTATCCAAACCTATTCCAAACCATTTCAGGCTCTCTACCCAGCCGGTATGGTGATACCCGAGCACTCGCAAATCCCGATGCTTCACCTCTGCCAGCTTCAGGCCGCTCTACAGCAACAGGTAGGAGAATTGTAAACGTTTTAAATAGGTTTTAAAATTGACTATAACTTTTGTAGCATACTTTCAATTTGAAATTTTCAGTACGGTTCATCGAGTTCACTCTTTAACCCATACTCGTCGATCACCGCTGGGAATGGCTCGGTTTTGTTGCCAAATCCACAAGCAACGGCCAATCAACCGGGTAAAAAAAAACGTCTTACAATTGTCTTATCTTCTCAAAATTTCTTCAGGCACCTCATCAGCTTTTCAACCATTCAAAGCGCAAAAGAGCTCAGTGATCAAAACGACTCGCGAAAGGATCAGCCCCGATTCGAGCACCGATCCGATTGTGAAAACGGGGGCACAAAGAAAAGGTAATGCAGAATCTCTTTCATTCGCTTGTTGTTAGATATGCAATATGCAAATTTTGATCTCACTGCCAAACTTTCAGATCATTCCACTCCGCCGAATCATCGAAGTAATCACTCGGCATCCGGCAACTCGCTTCTCGGCGCTTTGCTTTCAAATAGGAGGTTGGTGGCACAGTAAATAACTAGATACAATAGTTATGATTATTAGAATTTTAATTTTCGGCTATTACCCAAAGCTATTATTCATTCTCAGACCATCACCCACCGTACCCCAAAGCAGCACCGAGCGTCGCAGCGGTCTTGCCAGCCCTCCCCGAGAGCAAAATCATAATAATCTAGTGGGCTTTGTAAATAGAAACATTTTGTTTGAATATATGCATTTTTCTAACTTATCCAATCTATAATTTCAGCCACCCTCGGTCCCACCCGTTCCCTCAGTCTCTCCATCACATGCCGGCTCCTCGTTCTCCTCGGTTTCCCTATCGATGTCAGGAAGCTCGAAATCAGGTATTTCTTTGAGAAATTGAGAACTTTGTGATAAAATTAGCTAAAAAAAATTCTGAAAAGTTAAATATTTGCATTTTAGATAGTGAAAGTCATTCCTCGGCATCACTCTCACCAACGGACCGCATTCAAAATGGAGAGGAGAAGGAGGGAAATCGAAAGGTACACTGAAAAACCAAATTAGTCCATCAGCTAATCTAATCAATTAAGTTAACCTATTAAGTTAACCAAAACAATGAAATGAAAATTTTAATGATCTAGTTTTTAAAAATTTCAGCAGCAATACATGGAACGAAGACGACGAAACAACGAGGCGGCGAAGAGATGTCGAGCAAATCGAAGAGCCGTCTTCGAGTACAGAAGTCGACGAGTTGAAGTAGGTTTTAGTAACACGTTTTAGAAAATCTTCGTTGACAATGTTGATCTAAAAGTTTACACCGTAATCATTTTGCAGGTTTTGGAGGGTCAAAACGACGATTTGCGCAAAGAAATCGACGACCTGAAACAAGAGATTGAACGTTGTCGGACAATGATCCTTCAGAGAGAACAAAATAACCAAATGAGCTGAGAAATTTCATCCTGAAATTTTGTATTTCCTATCGAATTACCAACAAAACTTGCAGATCTCCCACCGATTTTTGACATTTTAGGGAACGATTTTTATAGTATCTCCGATTTGTATTAGCTTTTCCGATTTGGTATTTGTTGTGCAATAAAGTATCAGAAATTTTACCTACGGGCAAAACCAGTTAAGAAAAATAATTAATTAGTTCGTTTACCTCAAACAATTTATTCGTTAACCTCATGATTTTCTTGACAACAAATCAAAGAAAACTAATCTATCTATCAATTTTAGTCTATCAGTCTATCAATTTTACAGCAATAACCAAAAACAACAAAAACTCAAAAAACTACGAACAACAAAAATGCACAAATGCACAAAAAAGCTTTATGTAACAAACAAAAACATGAAAATTACTTATCCAATTTGATTGAAATCGTTTAGAAGAGACCGGCGATCGGCGAGATGCAAGTAATTCGATTCTGAAAATGAAAAAATGAAAATTCGTTTAAACGGATTTTTGAAAGCTACTCTAGAAAGAAGACACCAACCAAAATCTCCTCTCTGAAGCGTGAAAACTCTTTCATAACATGTGCAACGATCAATCTTTCCGCGTGTTTCTCAGTCGTTTCTTGTCGCCCCACAAGCGGAATTACATGTTTTCGAATGAAACTAAAAGAAAATATGGTTGTGCTTCGCTGTAAAACTGAAAGAAAGAAAACCAGTTTCTTAATTTTATAATTTACTCTTCAAAAAAATATACTCAGTTTGCATATTCTCGAGCGCTTCCAGCATCAGAATCAACAAATCCGAATTGGTGGTCGTGTTGAAAATGACCGTCAGCACCTAATAAAATGGTTTGTTATTAGCTTTCAAAAACCACTAACTTCTCGTATTTGATGCCAAATCGTTGAGGTGACCGAAATGCGAGCGGGATGAGCGAGAAATTTCTTCAGCGTTTGTTCCAAAAAGAACGGCATCAGTGTGCTTACCTCCTAAATAAAATGAACGTTAATGGAAGTTGAGTGTTTACTTTGGCTCATGGAAGCTGAACCTTTGTACCTTCAGGAAAAAGTAATACGAAATCTAGTTATAACTCGACAATCTAATGAAAGCTCTTACCGTAATTCCCTGTCTGAAAGTGTACTCGTACAGTCGAACACATCGAATCACATAGAGTTGAACATCCAGAAACCAGCTCCAACTCTTCGCTTTCAGAAGACAGTACTCGCGTAGGTGCTAAAATATTGAAATAAGCAAAAGGATAGATTTACCCCAAAAGCCGTGGTGATTTGTTGAATAAGCCGTGTTTTTGTAACCTTTCCTCGACTCATGTCTCTGAATTTAAAAACTACACTGCTGGACCTAACTTCAGGAACACTTGAAATTTTGCACTTTTATCAAAAAAACTATTGATTGGGGTAAACGGTAAATCGAATCTGATTTCCATTAATATTTAATAAATAAAAACGGTATAAAACAATGAGGCCCTCGGAGAAATTTTTATTTAGCACGATTTTCTTCAAAAATCTCATTTTTTAACTGCATAATTTTAGGAACACCTCTCGAAAAATTAACTTTTTGAGCAGTAATAAAAAGTTAGAGAAACGTTTTTTAGTAATTTGATAGTGCTGATTTCAAAACTGGGAACCGTTTGTCGATAGATCTTACCGTTTTCAAGATCTGGAAACTCGATTTGTCTGCGTCGGAAAGTGGAGATGAAGAAAAACTACCTAAAATTAAGCTATTTTACACAGGAAATGGGTCTTTTTCCGTCTCTTCCGGTTCATCTCCACTTTCCGACGCGGCCATTCATCGAATCCTTCAACTCCCAAAGAAGACTCTTACTCTATTTAATTTCTGGAAGTCTTATATTTTCAGAAAAAACTTTTTTAGAAAAACTGGTTCTTCCATACAAAACCGAGTTTCCAGATCTTGAAAACGGTAAGATCTATCGAGTTTCCAGTTTTAAAATCAGCACTATCAAATTACTAAAAAACGTTTCTCTAACTTTTTATTACTGCTCAAAAAGTTAATTTTTCGAGAGGTGTTCCTAAAATTATGCAGTTAAAAAATGGGATTTTTGAAGAAAATCGTGCTCAATAAAAATTTCTCCGAGGGCCTCATTGTTTTATACCGTTTTTATTTATTAAATATTAGTGGAAATCAGATTCGATTTACCGTTTACCTCAATCAATAGTTTTTTGATAAAAGTGCAAAATTTCAAGTGTTCCTGAAGTCAGGTCCAGCAACATAGTAAACAAAAAAAGTTGCCTAATTACCTCCAAAACTCAATCATGTCCTTGTTGCGATCTTTCCACAAATCGACGATTGACTTCTAAACAAAAATATCGGTAAAGTAAATAAAAGTAAAAACTGACCCTCGAAGAATCAAACGATTGCGATTGAGAAGTCAAACTTCGCGTTGGACTTATCGATTGAGAGGGCGAATTTTCTGTTTGACTCATCGATTGAAATTCCAGATTTTGGGTTTGATTCATCAATTGGGAGGCCGAATTTTGTGTTTGACTCATCGATTGGGAGGCCGAATTTTGCATTTGACTCATCGATTGAGAGGCCGAATTTTGTGTTTGACTCATCGATTGAAAGTCCAGATTTTGGGTTTGATTCATCGATTGGGAGGCCGAATTTTGCATTTGACTCATCGATCGAGAGGCCGAATTTTGTGTTTGACCCATCGATTGAAAGTCCAGATTTTGGGTTTGATTCATCAATTGGGAGGCCAAACTTTGTGTTTGACTCATCGATTGAGAGGCCGAATTTTGTATTTGACTCATCGATTGAGAGGCCAAACTTTGTGTTTGACCCATCAATTGAAAGTCCAGATTTTGGGTTTGATTCATCAATTGGGAGGCCAAACTTTGTGTTTGACCCATCGATTGAGAGGCCGAATTTTGTGTTTGACTCATCGATTGAGAGACCAAATTTTGCGTTTGACTCGTCGATTGAGAGGCCGAATTTTGTGTTTGACTCTGTTGTGATCTAAAGAATGAAAACTTTTAATTCGATAATCCCATCTCTGTGGTTTGAAACAAAATACCACTCACTTATTGCTCAATTCGTGCATTTCTTTGTACCAAAATGCTGGCAAATTTGAAGTACCCGGCTCGTCATCTGGTCTAAGATATACAAAATGTATAACGTTAACAACAAATATAGCTTTTTAAAAACCAACTTACTTCATCCTAGTCAACTCATCATCGTCGAAGATCGGCTGAGAAGAGAAATAATTGCTTGTTTCACTCTCCGCCTGCGACATCCAAGTAGAGCATTGCGACTGACTTACACTGGCAAACGATTGCGATTGAGAAGCCGAATTTTGTGTTTGACTCGTCGATTGACTCTGTTGTGATCTGAAGAATGGAAACTTTTAAGTCGATAAACTCATCTCTGCGGTTTTAAACAAAATACCACTCACTTCCTGCTCAATTCGTGCATTTCTTTGTATCTTTCCCTCACTCGCTCCTGAATATTGCTCGTGAACTCGGAGAGATTTGTAGCCTCGGCCGCCTGCAGCGCAGATAAGCGAAACTAAATGGGAAAATTTGAGTTTTTGGCGTCTTTTAACAAACTACCTCATTATCAGGCGTGGTGTTGACAATTTTGGCAAGTGCAGTAGAGATGTACTCGATCGCCTCATTCTCTTCCATCGTTTGGTCCGGGTCGAAATCACCAGAGATTGTCGTGTTCGCTGACATGATCCTGCAAAAAAATGAATTGAAAAATCAAGAATCAAGAATAAAGCAAGGAGCAATGAAGAATGCAATTTTTGCTATATTAGGATTGGAAAAACGGAATTTAAGCCAATAAAGACATAATTTGGCAAAAATTTCAGCATCCTCCCCCCGCCCACGAAAGCAACTTTTCAAAATCCGACAAGATAATTCGCACACAAACCGATATATAAAGTGCTGCACGTTTAAAAGAATATTTACCTATTTCAGCAAAATTTAAATAATTAACAACAAAAAGTATACACTGAAAATTACAAGAAAATAAAATAAAGCAGGTGCTTATCTTGATACGAAAAACTTTTATTGTGTTTCTCCCGGCGTTTCTGGAGTTTCGACTTTCTTCTCAGGTGTTTCCGGAGCTTTGACTTTCTTCTCCGCCGCCATTACCTCTTCATAGGACCTTAGGGCAATCGCTTTTGCATCGATCGGACTAAAATAAAGTTTTTAGTTGCGATTATTTCATGTAGGATACGACATTAATCGGTGTAAGCTTAAAATTAATATATTAAATAACAATCCGTTTAAAGCTTACTTCTCTTCTCGTCCTTCTCGAAAAGCATCAGCCTCTTCTTTGACCAGCGCCATCATCAGGTTGCGTTTGAATCGTCCCATTATGACAGCCTAAAAATTCATATTCAACTACATCCACTATTATTCAAACCAACTGCGAAAGCCACCTAATAGCGGCTTTCGCAGTCGGGTCTCATGCAAAAAAGGTAAAACGGGCAAGCCGTAAGTACCTGAAAATACGTTGAAGAAAAGAAAATGCAAAGCCCATTAAAAACTTGGTAAAATCAAACGGAGTCGGAACAATAAAAAACAAAAGAGTTTGACACCTAGAATGGGTATACCCTAGATTCTCCTGCAACAATCGCAAAGTCAAAAAGCAGGCAAATTTCGTGAAAATTTTCACATTTGATCGCAGTGGCGGAACGGATAGAGCCCCTCACACAACCCTGGTTCGACCCCCATTTTTGCTTTTTAAAAAACTGTTTTAGCCAAATGTCTTCGAAAAAATTAACCTCCTCGTGTACCAATTTGCAGCTCTCTAGCTCTATACCCTGAATTAATTACCACACACGGACAGACGGACCTGACGTTTTATATAGGATACACTCACATTTTTCGCAGCCATTAGATATTGTTCATTTTGAAGCATTATACTGTACATCAACTTTCCAGCTGCAAGACCCGTCTCCTTCAATTCCTCGCGTTTCTTCTTGTTCCGTTCCTCACGTCGTAAGAATAAGGCCTACAAATTGTAAATAAATATTGTGGAAATTATCGGCTTACTTGTTCATCAATCGGGAAAGACTTCGACATGAGCTCGCGCATTTCTTGCCTTTCTTTTTCGATAATCAACTAAATTAAAATGATGAAAACGTAGCTTTCGAGTTTTCTCACCTCGGTAGTAGCGATTATCTCCGCTCGAATTTGTGACAACCATCGACTCTCACTTTCAAGCTGTCGAATCTGAATGAAAAATAATTAAAACATACAAATTCTTTACTCACATGTGCCTTGGCGTCAGGATTCTTTTTGATTTCGTACTGTCGCATGCTCTCCTGATTGGCTTTGAGGAGAACCGCGTTGCAAATGTCCACCGATTGGCCGATCTAAAAGAATAAAAATAATAAATGTAGACCATTTTGAACGCCATTTTTGAAACTATAAGATCAGCTTTACCAACTACCGGGTACTTTTAGGCTGGCTATCCAGCTCTACTTATTTTTCATGTTTTAAAGTCTTCTGAAGTGATTCGAAAACTTAAAATTGCGAAAGTGCCGTATTTATTCTAATCCCTCGTAAGTTCACCCATTCACATCAGAAGATACAGTTTCACCAAAAATTTAATTTTTAACCTATGGCCACAAATTTGGTGTCAAATAATAGAGTGAAAAATCCCCTTTCTTTATACGATATGAAATATGAAAAATTAGGATAAATACGGTACATAGTTTTGCTTAAACGGGGTATTAATCCGGGTCACCGTAAAAAATTTTTCAAGGCAACCACCGATTTTTAAATTTTAATATTGCTAATTTTATTATAAAAAGAATAAAAATCATCCGGCTAGAGTGATTTGATGGGTTTAGAATTTTTTGGAGACGTTGCAAGGCTCGCGTAGTTCATCTACAAGGTAAGTGCGAAAGTAAAGCAAAAGTCACGCACTTTTTTCTTTTTGTTTTCTCTAGTGTTTTCTCTGTTCTTTTTGTTTTCTGATCTATATTTTTAGTTTTTTCCTCATTATAAAATATATTTTTAGGGTTTCTAAACAAAATGGAGGCGGAAGAAGAGCTAATCGAATTGTTATTTTTTTTGTTATTTTTAAATTCGCTCAATTGGAGAAACTATTACAAAGACGTCCAGATTGTGAAAAACTTTCGAGCGGTCAAAAAACAGGAAAAGAAAGCAATATTGAATGGACAACAAATGGATCGAACATGACAGCAACCATTCGTGCCTGATGTCTGATGAATGACGAGCTTGCTTTTCTTCAAGCCTTGTAACGTCTCCAAAAATTTGTAAACCCATCAAATCACTCTAGCTGGGTATTATTTTTATAATAAAATTAGCAATATTAAAATATAAAAACCGGTGGTTGCCTTAAAAAAACTTTTATGATCACCCGGCCGCGATTAATACCCTCCCTTTAAGCAATCATCATGTTGAAACAAAAAAAATAAACCACAACTCACATGTCGCTCGACTGCCCTTATTGGTTTAGGATCGGCAGCGCGTTGACAAAGAGCGACGATATCGTTCGCTTTTGGCGTCATTCTCACCATTGCACTTCGCGGGGTTGGCGGCTCGATGCAGCTTGGATGCATCCTGCCGACAAATGGAATCATTGTGACGGCTGAAAATGAAAACGTGTAATAAGACAGCAAAATGTGGGGGAAATAGTGAGAATTTTACAAATCTGATACACAGAGGACTGTGACTCAAGAGAAAACGGCTTTGGCTTAAATTTCAAGAAACTGGCAAAGCTACTAATACGAAAAATGCCAAACTTTCGGGCAGTTCTTTATCTCGTGCAGCATAAAGAAAAAATGTTGCACTGTTAGGCTGAATATCATTAAAGCGCCTTTGTTAAGGTAAAGATGATAAGAATAGGACTAGAATAAGAACTCCTAAATTATCATATTTAGTGAAATTTGCATTCAATTTACTATGTCGTAATATTTTTTTTGAGTAAAGCCTCTCATTTTATTCTTCCAGTGACGTCGATGTGTGGCCGATTCTTCACTGAGAATATCAACAACGTCAACAAAAAGAAGAACAAGAAAGTTTGAAGGTTGGATCTTTTTTATAGTAAGCCTCAAATTTTGGACAGGCACAGTTTAGGCACTGCTCTATTTTATTCACGAAAACTAAAATGACCATTATGTCTTTAGATGTCTCATCACTCTACATCAATTCATTGCCTTTCAACGGCCTCCACCCAACTTACCAGCAATTCGCTTGATAAACATGAAGAAGTCGACACGGAGGCCCCTTTTGATCCTTTATTCGTCCCACCATCTTCACAAGCGGTAAGTGGCAATTCATTTAAGACATTAAAGAAGCACGAATGCTTTGGAAGGTTGGCTTTTTGTTGTCGGGTGAATAAGCTAAAGTGCAAATACAATAAGTTGATGTGATAGCTTTTCATGGACTTGAGAGTGCAAAGAAATTTTCGAAAATTCAAGTACCGCTAATGTTTTTCTTTTTAGGTTCGTCGTCTGCTCGTCGTCGATGGCTGCAACATTGCGCGTTCGAGTTGTGGACCAACTAGAAAGTCGTTGTTTTTGCTGTTTTGTATTCAAACAACGCCTTCCTTTTAGCAATGTCAACTGTGCCGGCTTGATGGTAGTGATTCGATGGTTGCTCGTGCGTAAATTTGAGGTTTTTTTTCTGTCTTTGCGCCAAACTCAAACGCCAAACAAACGTCATTTTTTTAGGTGGTCGCTTTTCTCCCAATCATCTACAACAATAACGGGAATTTCAACGTGACGAACGTCTATTTGTTGCAGGTTTTGCTTTAAATTTTGACGTTTACAGAGTTTTTTTAGAAACTCGAAGAGCTTGGTGTGGTGACTTTTACGCCGGCAAGGACGGCTCGGGGTGATCGACGCGCTTTCATTAACTATGATGACTTGTGAGTAATATTGGGACATTTGAATCTACGTTCTGAAGATGAATTCGTCCTTGCTTTTTAGATATGTTGCCAGTCTTGCGGCTCGACATGGTGGCACGGTGTTGAGCGGTGATCGATTTAAGGATATTCTAGCAGAGACCCAATACAAGTAAATCTTATTTGAAACAAGAGCTTCAATACTTTATTTTTTAGTGAACTTCACGACGTCTTGCGCAATCGTCGCCTTGACGTGAGATTTCACATCTTGAAACACCCGTATGCACAGGTTGATTGTGATGCTTGATTTTAAAAATCTTATTTGTTTAAATAGATTGGCGAAGATCGTTTCATTGATCGAATTCCCGAGTTGTGCTTGCGACCAGCTGATCAATTGAATGACGCCATCTCGAAAAGGCTATGGGCTGAGCGTAATGACCCCGACTATCAGAAGGCAATCAATTCTGTTGTCCCCAAGATTAGTTTTTCATTTCAGGTTCTTCTGCGCCGTCGCTCTTGGTCCAAGCAGCAAAGTGATCGAATGGTTGCAACAATTGATTTGTTGATGGATGAGTTGTGCGAGAAAACGGCAATTCGACCCATTCAACTCTCACCACCGTACACGCAATGGATTGCACAGAAGGGAATGAGAAATGGAGGAGGGGTGAGTAGAGTAGAAGAGGAAGGGTTAACTTAGCTTATTGAACTATTTGCGGTGAGCTTATGAACACTTTGCGGTTCGGAGTGGCAGCTTTTCTAAAGGGACCTCATGCTTTTTTCATATCGAGGCTAAAATTTTTGTATTATTGGAGCAAAAAAATTTCTTGCAGAGGTTCGTCGACAGTTCATTTGGTAGGCCTGGTCCATCCACCACCACCCCATCTACATCTTTGTCATTAACACCGCCCGTGTCATACTCAAGCCGTTACTCGGAGGATTCGTGAGTTTCCATCTTTTTTTCCACCTTTTGCTGGGTTGTTGATCAGCTTTTTAAAAATTGTTCACTATTGACTCATTTACAGAGTCATTTCATGGAACGGTGATTTTGTGGACTTGCGCGGGCGAAACGATCAACAGCAACGCGGAGATGGTGGTTTGGTGACCGAAGATGGGTACTCAAATGTGGAGCTTAAAGATTTTAATAAGATTTATGCTATATCTTCGGGGGCAGACTATTGTGCACTTATACTCAACATTTTAGGTGCCCGGCTTGTGGATTCCGCCCGAGTTGCGCCAAGCGTCCGCCCATGCTCATCAAGACCTTGCGCCCGTGAATGAATATCAAGCTACGAGTGGTGATGGTGGTGTCGAGGCACAGGAACGAAGAACGATGATAAGCATTCAGCCGGAAATTGTACGTGTTTCTATAGAATTTACTATTGAAAGATGTGTTAGCTGTTTAATTGCCCAAGCTCCAAACCAGACACGTAATGGTAATAGAAACATTTTACCAGTTAAAGATAGTAATCTGCATTTTTAGGGCACTCCTCCATCCGCCTCAACACTTGTGCCGCTGCGCTTCACTTGGAAAGATGTCGATTTGTTGACGCTGAATGTCAGTTTTATTAGACTAATATTTAACGGTCCTATACTATAAAAGTCAATGGTTATAAAAAGGTTAGAAAATCTGCTCAAATCCCTTAAGTGATATAAAGTCATTTTTTAGGTGGCCGATCTGCATTATTGCCTCAATCATCCCCGAAATGACGTCCTCGTGTTGCCTTCATGCAGTCAACAGCGGGAAAGGTGAGTTTTTGCTGTTTTAAAAAGACTATAGTCGCGCTTTAGCTTAACAAATGAGGACCACGTACTGGCGCAACTCATCGACGCTTTTCCGATGGAAATTGTCGAAAAGGTGAGGTCATTGTGTTTTTGTGTTTATTTTCAAAGCATAAATAAAAACTGAACTGCTTTTTTGAATTTGACTTTTAGGTCTTGAAAGAGAACATCTCGCGAAATGTGGAGGTGTTGGCGAATTTATGCGCAGAGATGACCACTTAAATGAAAAAAGAAGACGAGCTCTTGCTATCGATTTTTAAAAGGCGTTAGTCTGTTTTGTTTTCTTTTTCCAGATTCGTTTATCGTTTAATTAAACGCTTCTTGGGTTTTTTTGTATAATTTACATCGTTTTTTGATACTTATCCAATAATTTGCAGCTTGTTTCTCTGTTTTACCCCTTCCTCCTACGGTTACTGTAATTTCGTTGTAGTTTACTGGGTTGTTAACTCGTATTTTATTCTTGTGGGTAAATAAATGTTTGGGGGAAAAGATGAACATAGAGCCAACTCCTTTTTCTCTCAAAAACAACACTTATATTATAATTTTATCTTGCAGACGAAATTAAAAAACTTGTTCCTTCACACATTTCACAATGTGAATTTTAGATTAAGGACACACGGGTGCCAATTGTAAGGCACTTAAAAGATTAAAAGCAAGTGATTTTGCAGAGAAACTTTTGGGTACACGTATAGAGAAAGATTATGACAGAATTGGAGAGCACTACGTCAAAAATATGAATCAAAAAATGACTAGGTACATGAGAATTAACTTACAAAATACGTGCAACATGTACAAAATGTATGCCAAAAGGATATAAGTTAAGCTCATTGAAAAATAAAGTCGGCAATTTGTGGTTGTAAAAGTTCGGCACGAGCCAACACCGCGTTGAAGAGATTGTCCTGGGTCAAATCGAGCGCTTTTCGACAATCCGTCAAAGAGAAGCGAGAAGAACGAACGCCACACTCCACACTACAAAATAGGTTTCAATCTAAAAACTGTTAGGTTTTAAAAGCCTTGAAACGAAATTCACCTTTGCTTTGAGAAGGCGATGTTTCTGAAATGGTGCCGACAAGCAAACTTTGTTTCGATCAACGTCAACAATGCAAACAGGCCACTCACATCTTGCGCCGTGTAAGATGATCGTTGGAAGTTCTATCTGAAATACTCGTAATAATGTTTGAACAATTTTAATTGCTTCTAACATCTTACAAACTCTATTTCAAAAACCTATTGTTTTGTTACCCTTCAGTAACTTGCCAATGTAATCGAACATTTGGGGACTTGTACGTATGACGATAAGCTCTCGAAACAAGACTTCCCGATTTTATCTCAACTCTTGAGGGTACAAAGAAGCACAATGTGAGCAGCAATTTTGCCACAAAGTTGTGATTGTCGCCCAAGATCACATTTAGTTTTGTGTTTGTTTGTCTGTTTCAACATGGCGCTGAATCGCAAAGATTGGCTCGAAGTTTCAATTGGAATAACGTAAAAAAAACAAAGTACTCGATCAATCGCCACATTGGGGTCAATTATTTTGACCCCGGAGCTTGTTTAGGGCAACTCCTGTGTATAAAGTAGTTTTCCGTTCGTTTAATTCATATAACAGGAATTTCATCAGTCTTTTAATCAGGAATTATAATTGTTATCGTTCTCCAGCTTCAATCAATCAATCAAATTTCAGTTTATCATGCAATCTTCAAATGAAGCATCAGATTTCGGGAAACGAATCCCGAAAAAAGAAGAAAATGATGATGATGAAAACTCCAAAGATGGGCAAGACGACAAAAACAAGTAAACCAAAAGACAATTATCATAAAAAGTACGAAAATATTTGCATTTGCCTTTTTCAGATTAAATGTACAGTCGAACCTCTCTATAACGAACCTCGATATAACGTAAACCTCTCTATAACGTAAGGCGTGACCGGTCCCGGCCGACGTTAAGCTATATAAAACGGCACTCTATATAACGTAAACCTCTATATAACGTAAGCTATAGCCGTCCCGTGAGTTACGTTATAGAGAGGTTCGACTGTACATTTGAAAAAGTGCAATGAATGAATTGCAAAAAAGCGTGGAAAGCCAATTTGAAAATTATAATATAGGCGATAAATTTGCATCTGAAAATAAATTTGCAATTTGTGAGTGTCTCACGAAAAAAGCTCTTGCAAAACTAAAACATTTAGCATTTTTATTTCCTCAAAAATGGCTACCACTGCCGATATTCAACTCGGTGATGCCCAACTCTACACGGACAATCTTCACCTATGCATCCAAGCTGGCGGGGAGCAGTTGTCGTTTTACCATGGAGTGAATCGGGAGGCTAAGGTGAAAACGCTGATGAATACTATCAAACTTCGAATTGAAGGTCTTCGAAAGAAGGTCAGTTTCTCTTTTTCTTTTTTTTGAAAGCAAACAATTTTATAGGCTCCAAGGTTACTATCGTTGTTAGAATGTGTATTTTTTTAAATCATTGAGATGCACACTGCTTGTGTATTGCGATGAATTTCAATGAAATCATCCAATACTCAACAACACCGACACTCGGTGTTGTTGAGTCCGAAATGAAGGCACTCGGCTGATAACTACCACAAAAATCCTCTATTAGAGCTGCATACAGCTCTATTTTTCGGTATCCGTCAAAAGTGCGGCTCTAATAGAGGATTTACGGGATTTACCGACTGAGTCTTGCTGCTTCCTCATCGAATGAGACCAAAATTTGGCCGATTCAATGAAAAAAGCCGCTTTAACTATGGTAGTTTCGTGAAATGGTGTCTTTTAGAAAAGGGATTACTTGAGTGAAACACGCTCTACTCTTTAAGGCTACTATAAAATGTGTATGCACTGGAAAATTTCCATTTTTGTGTACACGAGAGAAATTGAGTTATATTTAGGTGTTACTGATGAATGGACAATTTGTCGCCGGTGCTTTGGCTAACATCACTTTTCGATTCCAAGACGTTATTCAATACACGAATGCAGTCCATCATCTTATTCTGGCTGGATACAATTTCATCCCTCTGTGAATGATCAACTAAACATTTTCCTCTTATATATACACTGTGGTGCAAAAGTCCTGACCGGTCGCACTGTCCTATCAAGTCTGAACCATTTCGCCAGAAAAAGAACGTTAAAATTTTATGGTAAAAACGTTTTTGGATAGCTTAAACCTTCTACTTTTATAATCCAAAGAATGAAAGCAATAACATTTTATTTAACAAAAAATTTTGACAATATTCCGAAACGACTCAAAAAAACATGGTGCAAAAGTCTTGACCGGTACAAGAAAACACAAGAAAATTCAATACTTCGTAGGTCCTCCTTTTGCGACAATGACTGCCTTGATGCGTCTAGGCATCGAGTCGACCAAATCACGTAGAATTCCCAAAGAAAGTTGTCTCCAAACATTTCTGATAAAGAAATAAGCATCGACCTTTGAGTTGAACCGGCGTCCCTTGAGTTTGGCTTTTAAATGGGCCCAAAGATGCTCTATAACGTTCAGATCCGGCGAATAGGGAGGTGCTTTGATCAATTCCACACGATGAGCAGCAAAAAAGCCGGGCAGGCGAACTTTACCTCCATTTGCAAGCCGGACAACTCGACCCATCAGTAATTGGCTTTTGTGGCAAGGGGCGTTGTCTTGATATAAGGCCCATCCTTGTGGCATGTTCGTGTTTGCAAATGGAAGTAAGTTGTTCTCTATGATTGACTTGTACCTTTGAGCGTCGAGATTTCCATCGATAAACACTAGCGGTCCCGATACACTTCGATTCATCGAGCCTAAAAAGACAAATCGTAAGTAAAAAATAGGGCGAACACTTACCCCACAACATAATACTCCCACCACCGAATTTGACCGTTGGCTTAACGTATTTGAGCTTATAACGTTGTCCAATTGGTCTTCTGATTAAATGGTTACCGTCCGGGTAGTATAAATTAATTCTAGTCTCATCGGTAAAAATGACTCGGGCCCAGTCATCGGAAGTCCAACACTCGTAGTTCTTTGCAAAAATCATATCTCAGCTTCCGAGTTTTTGCAATGGTCAAGGGTCGTTTTGCTGGTCTTCTTGCATGCAATCCTGCTCGAATCAAGCGACGGTTGATGCTCCATCGGGAAATATCCTTGCCAGAAACAGCTTTCAACTTCTTGATCCCATAGCTCGACGTTAGATTAGGGTTTATTCGGTGCTCCCTGATGATCGAACGATCCTCATTTGGTGTTGTAATTGGTGATCGACCTCTTTTGGGGCTCTATGAACGTTTCCTTTTGATTTGAATTGCGCCACGAGACGTCTCACTGTTTTTCAGAACACTTGAACGTTTCCATCACATTCTTCACGCGAACGCCTTTTGTTCGATTCTCGACAATTTTCTCTTTGTCAGGCGTTGATAGATATCGTCCTGGCATCTAAAAAAAATAGAATTAGAACCAAAAAGTTTATGCAGAAAGACAAGAAATACCAAAAAAAAATCAAGAAATAAAAAACCGGTCAAGACTTTTGCACCATGTTTTTTTGAGTCGTTTCGGAATATTGTCAAAATTTTTTGTTAAATAAAATGTTATTGCTTTCATTCTTTGGATTATAAAAGTAGAAGGTTTAAGCTATCCAAAAACGTTTTTACCATAAAATTTTAACGTTCTTTTTCTGGCGAAATGGTTCAGACTTGATAGGACAGTGCGACCGGTCAGGACTTTTGCACCACAGTGTATGTGTGTCTTATTTTTTTTGTATTTTTGTTTTTACAACTGTTCTCTATAAAGTTGATCGAAAACAAAAAAATCACAAACATTTACCAGAAAGAAAAAAGTTTCCATGTAAAGCGTTTCGAGTTTTTTCGAGATTCAAGATTCGAGTTGGTTAATGCACAGACCAAATGAGGGAATTTATAGTTTTTGGGACGAAAAAACAGATCGAAGATCCTTCTCCACATAGTCGAGCGATTTCCGAGATCGATGCGAGATTTGCCGGGCTTCAGCAACTTCCAGTAGAGAACACCGACAGAACGCCAAGATACACATAAACCACTCCCGAGCAGTACTTGCCCCAACAATACTTGTTCCATAAAATTGATTGACCTCTCGTCTCGCTTTGAATGCATGAATCCTTTTCGTATATCGTTGGAGCAATTCTCGATGAATTTCTTGTCGACTTAAGATAGGTTCAAGACCCTAATATTCAATTTAACAAAAAATAAAAAAAATTCATGTCTAAATTATTGATGTATCAAAAAATTTCCTAATTTTGGCATCTACTTTCTTGGCTTTTAGATATCATTTATTGCTTATTTGTCCATCGTAACTAAAGCTTTACCGATTCTTTGCCGAAGCGAGCCGCATTTTGTGCTCTCCACAATGGAATCGGTTTTTCGGCTTTTGGAAGTGGATTTTTTGGAAGTGCTGTTTTAAAAAGACTATAGTCGCGCTTTAGCTTAACAAATGAGGACCGTGTACTGGCACAACTCATCGACGCTTTTCCGATGGAAATTGTCGAAAACGTGAGGTCATTGTGTTTTTGTGTTTATTTTCAAAGCATAAATAAAAACTGAACTGCTTTTTTGAATTTGACTTTTAGGTCTTGAAAGAGAACATCTCGCGAAATGTGGAGGTGTTGGCGAATTTATGCGCAGAGATGACCACTTAAATGAAAAAAGAAGACGAGCTCTTGCTATCGTTAGTCTGTTTTAAGTTTTCTTTTTCCAGATTCGTTTAAACGCTTCTTGGGTTTTTTTGTATAATTTACATCGTTTTTTGATACTTATCCAATAATTTGCAGCTTGTTTCTCTGTTTTACCCCTTCCTCCTACGGTTACTGTAATTTCGTTGTAGTTTACTGGGCTGTTAACTCGTATGTTATTGTTGTGGGTAAATAAATGTTTGGGGGAAAAGATGAACATAGAGCCAACTCCTTTTTCTCTCAAAAACAACACTTATATTATAATTTTATCTTGCAGACGAAATTAAAAAACTTGTACCTTCACACTTTTCACAATGTGAATTTTAGATTAAGGACACACGGGTGCCAATTGTAAGGCACTTAAAAGATTAAAAGCAAGTGATTTTGCAGAGAAACTTTTGGGTACACGTATAGAGAAAGATTATGACAGAATTGGAGAGCACTACGTCAAAAATATGAATCAAAAAATGACTAGGTACATGAGAATTAACTTACAAAATACGTGCAACATGTACAAAATGTATGTCAAAAGGATATAAGTTAAGCTCATTGAAAAATAAAGTCGGCAATTTGTGGTTGTAAAAGTTCGGCACGAGCCAACACCGCGTTGAAGAAATTGTCCTGGGTCAAATCGAGCGCTTTTCGACAATCCGTCAAAGAGAAGCGAGAAGAACGAACGCCACACTCCTTTTCGTCATTTAACGGATCACTAAAATGAAAAAGTTTTTTTTTCTGTTATTTATTTGCGTTGAATTAACTTATAGCTATCTAGGTATTCCGAAAAAGTACCTCGCCGCCCGAACATACTTTACAAATGCTTGCGCGAGATTCTCAAAGTACAACATAAACTGCTCGACAAGACCCTAAAAACACAGTTCGACGCAAATGAGCCAAAACCAAACCAAGCGAGCAGACTCCTCTTGTGGCAGAAGATCGAGATTACGCAAAAGCCATCTAACATTTTCGATCGTTTTCACCGGTTGCAACTCTCTGAAACAAAGCATAAGGTATTTCAAACAGCAAAGCATTTACAGTTTAACGTTATTCTTTGCCTTTGGGACATTTTGCTGAAGAATGGAGTTGACAAAATAGGTTTCAATCTAAAAACTGTTGGGTTTTAAAAGCCTTGAAACGAAATTCACCTTTGCTTTGAGAAGGCGATGTTTCTGAAATGGTGCCGACAAGCAAACTTTGTTTCGATCAACGTCAACAATGCAAACAGGCCACTCACATCTTGCGCCGTGTAAGATGATCGTTGGAAGTTCTATCTAAACTCAATAATGTTTGAACAATTAATTGCTTCTAACATCTTCCAACTCTATTAAAAACCAACCCTTCTAACTGCCTGTAATCGAACATATGGGTTGTACGTATGACGATAAGCTCTCAAACAGTTCCATCTCAACTCTTGGGGTACAAAGAAGCACAATGTGAGCAGCAATTTTGCCACAAAGTTGTGATTGTCGCCCAAGATCACACAGTAGCCTTGACTTTGTAGGACACCAGAAATCGCCTAAAAAATTAATAGAAAGTCCAATGTTGAGAGTAAAAACCTTGGCCAAAAGTTTATTCTCTTTCAATTCATAGCCATTTAAAAGCGTGAGTTTGATCTAAATATAAAAAACAGTAATAAATTTAGACGTTCAATCAAACCCGATGTCTTTTCCCTTCAGTGAGCAGGGGAAACCGTTCCAATGACCCAAAAAGACCTATCATTCTCGTGAGTTCAGTCGTCAGCCGAACAATTGAATCCTCATATTCTTCCTAAATATATAGCGTAGTAATATACGTAGGCTATAAACCACCTCTAAAAGCGAGGCCTTGATTCGTGGCACCATATCCTGAAATCTTATTGTTTCATCAACGTGAAACCTCAACCAACCGTCATCATGTTCTCGAACAAACGTTCACGACACATAAACCAATCGAGTCTAGAAAATGACGATTAGGAACGGTTAAAAACTAATTAGCGTTACCTTTTCAAAGGCAAAAGTAGTGAAATCGCATGCATCGATCGATTCTCTTCTTCTTCGGCTGGCAGTGAAAAAATATACGATACGGCTAACAAACTAGAACATTTGGAATTATCAGGCTTGAGTTAAACAAAAAAAAAACCTTCGTTCTGGTACACAAGTCAATTTCACGATGAGCGGATTCGAAGGCAGCTGAGTGCTAAAAATTTTTTTCTAACTTGCTACCGGGTTGGATTAAACCTGCAAATTTGCTCGGCCAAAACAAACTTCGCGACAAACGTCTCATCACTGGGCACATCATCAGGTGGATCTAGCACAACGTCTGAATGTTCTCCTTCTGTAGAATCTCTTGAATTTTGTTTCCTAAAACTAATAATAGATATTAAGCGATGCAAAAGCGCTAGGTCACTAATGACCTACTTGAAAATACTTGACTCCATGAGAGAAAGCTCCAAGACTTGTTCATTGACTTGAGCCACAGGCGATGTGCATAGAGCGCTGAGATCAGAATGTGTTGAGATGGTCGCAGCAATCCCAGAATCGAAACAAGATTGCAATTCTATGACTATGTAATCAAAAATAAATATTTTACAAAATTTACCATCAATGCCTCTTTCGCGCTTTTGTAGGTTTTGTTCAAAATCGTCTCCTCCTTCATCTCCAGTCCGACTCGTTAACTCGGCCAGTCCGTCAAAAATCTTCTGCCTTGTCGCATGCTCATCATTTGTTGATGATTCTATTGGCTAAACAGTAATTTTTTAACAATAAAATCTTTATCAAACCGTTTCGAGTAAGGAATCGTCTGGGGTAATCTCTCGTTGGGTATCGGCCGCTTTTTCACCGGATTCATCGGGGATTGCTGTCAATGTACTCTAAACAGGAAAATATGTTAAAGAAAACAAGGAAATTTGACGAACCCCTCGCCGTTTAGAAGATGGAGCTGAATTTGGCTCCGAATTTGATCCACTCTCATCCAGACGACCACTCGATGAGCTTTCCTAAAACAAGTATTACTTCCGAGCACATTTGCCTTGCTATAAAAGTGACGTAATTTTTTTAAAATTTTACTACCAGCATTGACGAATTAACGGTATTGGGCCCAATCGTGCTCCTACTATCCGTGATTGAATCCGTCATGTAGTCGTCCAAATACTGTCCTCCGCCTATAGCACGCTCTTTAATTGACACTAAAAATTCTATCATAAAAGAAAACATTTAAAATTTACAAATTGGAGAAGAGGAGAGCAAAAACAGTCCGTCGTCGACGTCTATGTTTTCTGTTACGGTGAGAAGGGGATTCTTAAAGTGAGCTTTATTTGGAAGTTTCTATTTAAAGTACTACTTGTAGCGGATCATCGATATCTTCAAACTGCATTGAAGTGGCTGACATTGATGAATTTACCGATGGCGCCTCGGAGCCCTAAATTTATGTAATGAAAAATTCATATAAAATCCCCACCTCTTCTCCACTCAAGTTTAATGGTGTCACTGAAGCCTCGAGAGGAGCGACTTCCCAGAGAAACCGAAGATCCGGGCCTGAATTAAAGATTTTAAACAGTTAAAGCATTCAGAACGAAATCTACATCTAATGTTTCAAAATTCAAACCTACCGGTCATGAAATCGAAAGAACTCCACACGATTTTTGTTATCCCACACGGATCGTTCACTCGCATCGTCAGCATCAAACGTCCCGATTGGCCAGCATTCTCGCCCTAAATAAAGAAATTAATATAGATAATCGTTTAATTAACAATAAAATTACAAATGAAACAAGCATTTACCTCTTTCATAGCCTCATACGCTAGAAAGTATTCAGCAGCCTCCATCTCATGTCATCTGATGGCTCGCTTATCTGAAAACTACTTTTTATTAATAGACTCTGAATGTAAAAGCAACAAAAAAATAAAACAAAGAATAGTCAAAAATACCCGCAGCACAAGTAAAATCACATGGGAAATAAAAGGAAAGATGACAAGATGTTTATGCGACTTCGGCCTTCTTTATGGGCGCAATGGTGAGCGTCTCAAATTTCATGAACATATCCGGCTCGTAGATGACTCTAACGATGAGGGAACACGAGGGACACGTCGCAACATCTTCTCCGCTCTAAAATAATTAAAAATGCTAAAGTGAAAAGTTGAAACGTCTCTTACATTAAGGATAAAAACCCAAAACCGACGCTCTCACCTCTAAAGCTTCTTTCGTTATTTCAAATCGGTCTCCACAGGGGCAGGGAAAGTGATAGATTTCAGCCTCTTCGTCGAACTCGAAGTCCTCAATTTCTACCTCATCGTGAAAGACTTGGGCCGACGTCGTTGTGCTAAATAAATTTTTTTAAAATCTTCTGATACGAGTTACGCACAGTAAAACCCTTGTTGAAAAATTAACTTCCTACGTAGACCCGTCTAGAAAAACGTGTAACGAGATCAAACCGCTTTAGGATCTAAGTGCCTGGTTTCTAGCAAGGTTTTACTTTAATTAAAAAAACTGAACCTTTTCTGGGGTGTTGCCTCTTCGACTTTCGTTGCCTCTGTCTCCACGTTGGCCATCGTTGAAGTCGTGCTGTTAATGGACGTTGAATTTTAGGAAAAATGTACTATGCACTAAAAACAAAAAAAGAATTGAAAAATCCGCAGATCTACAAGTAAAGTAATAAGTTGTACAATTAAAAAGAGGAGTTGAACATTGATGTTGAAACTTGAGAGGGAATACACACACGGAAAAGCCTACGCGCGCTTACAAATGACGAGTCTGAGTCGTTATAATTGAAACCAACCCTCCTCATATTATTCTACCTTTTACTTTTCCGGCTACTACAAACGCTTTTGATTTACTTTTTTCTCAGTTCTACTATTGAAAAAGTTTCTTTTGATTTAGATACAGAACTTGTGCAAAAATGGACCAAATGGAGCACGAGAGCGCTTCGAACGAGATGGAGAAATCGAACACAAGGATCATCGAATTGGATGAGGTATTTCATTTTGGTTTCCGCAAACAAAATTTTGGTGAATAGTAAAAATCGTTAACAAAATCATAGCGTTGTTTGATAGAAACTTAAAAAAAAAACATTTCTTTCAGTCTTCTCGCGTGAAAGCACAAGAGAGAATCGCTTTGCACTCTCATCTCCGAGGTGGTTTGGGTCTAGACGCTAAAGGAAAGGCTCATCAAAAGGTGGGTTTTTGTGTAAAAAAAAAACAGGTGAAAAAGTTTGGACTTGCGTAAGAAAATAAAAGTTAATGAATGTGCTCACTTTAGGCTGTTGGATTTGTTGGACAAGTGCAAGCACGTGAAGCCGCTGGTGTTGTTGTCGAGCTGATAAAAAAGAAAAAGTTTTCAGGTAGATATATAAGCGCTTTAGTAGATCCATTTTATTATTTAGGGCGATGTGTGTTGCTCGCTGGTCCACCGGGTTCTGGAAAAACAGCCATTGCGTTGGCGCTTTCTCGCGAATTGGGAAATAAAGTTGTTTTTATGGGGAAAAAATAGTTTAGCTAAATTTTTAGGTTCCTTTTGTTCCCATGACTGCTTCGGAGGTCTTCTCTGAAGAAGTGAAAAGAACAGAAATCATTGCAGAAAACTTCAGAAGGGCTATAGGTATGCGCATTGTTAGCACCATTTTTCAATGTTTTTTCTAGGCGTTCGAATCCGAGAGAAAAAGAATGTTTATGAGGGAGAAGTGACGCGATTGGAGACAGTTTTGTTTTTTCTGAAAAACAAAATATTTTGCGTGCGTTTTTAGATGGAAACTGAAAACCCTGTGAGCGGCTTTGGTAAATCCATCTCACACGTCATCATTGAGCTGAAAACAGTAAAGGTACAATAAGTTTTTGAAACGATTTTCAAAAACATTTTTTTAGGGAAGCAAAACTCTGAAGCTGGATCCAACGATTTATGAGCAAATTCTGAAGCAACGCGTCGAGCGTGGCGATGTTATTTATATCGAATCAAGCACAGGAGCAGTAAAGGCATCATTGAAAACTCTTATAAATCTTTATACCGTTCGAATTTAGCGCATTGGCCGCTGTGACGCCTATGCCACAGATTTCGATCTTGAAGCCGACGAATTCGTTCCACTTCCCAAGGGTGATGTACACAAAACAAAAGAGGTTTCGAACTAATGCACTTATTGTGATAAAAAGAATATCTAGGTTGTCCAAGATGTGACACTCCATGATTTGGATACAGCCAACGCTCGTCCATCCGGCGCACGCGGAGATATGACAAGCATTGTCGCTCAACTACTAAAGCCAAAGAAAACAGAAATCACAGGTTTGTATTGCTATTTGTAATTAGATTCAGTCTTCTTTTAAACAAAAACTTTTTAGAGCGTTTGCGTAGCGAAATCAACAACGTGGTCAACGATTTCATCGACCAAGGAATTGCTGAACTCGTGCCTGGGGTGCTCTTCATTGACGAGGTTCACGTTCTCGACCAGGAATGCTTTGCTTACTTAAACCGGTAATTGAAGTAACTGCAACAAGTTCTACTCTTGCTTTAGTGCCCTTGAAGGAGCTGTTGCACCGATTGTGATCCTTGCCACAAATCGTGTCTCTGATGAGTGAGTTTGCCAAAATTTTCAATTATTATGTGGTCTTTTTAGAGATGAAACTCGTGTGATGGGAATCCCTCGTGATTTATTGGATCGTGTGCTTCTCATCCCAACTGATTTTTACAACAAAGATGATATCCGTGAGGTCGGCTAGACAAATACATTTAGGTACTCACTGCCAGATTCTATTTTTTCAGATTGTAAATGTTCGTTCTGAAGCAGAAAGTGTCAAGCTAAGCGCTGGAGCATTGCACGAGTTGGCTCGTCTCGGTGATGAACAATCTCTTCGGTTTGAAATATAAATATCGATTTTGAGTTAGGCCTTTAAATTTAGATATGCTGTACAGCTACTTCTTCCCTCGAAAGTTCTTGCTTCGTCTGCTGGTCGACATGAAGTTGAGGTAGAAAATTGTTAGATAATATTGCTTGACTTTCGTAAATTTAGCAAAGAGATGTATTGGATGCAGCAAGGCTTTTTATTGCTGCGATGGATAAAGCAGATCTTATGCAGGTAACTAGATGAAGCGTTTTCGTAGTCAAAAATACTTTAGGGGTTATCTGATTTTGCGTTTGACCAAGATGATACTCTATGGGAGATTGATGTGCGAAGTGATGAGAAAGCAGAGGTTGTTGATGTTGCACCTAAAGAACCGTTCATTTTTAGACAACTGATGCCGGGACTTTATCTGATTTGGACAAAATTGATGCCCTTTTCTCCAAATTTATCGAGCAACGGATGGAATAAAGAAACTTGTTAGTTTTACGCTTTGTTATGTTATGTTTTTAAGTTTGATACTCATTTTATACTGGTTAAAATAATTGTTTGTTGAATCATGATAAATTTGTTTTCAATTGTATCTCTTACCTTAGCATGGAACAACTGGTGAAAAGTTGCCTTTTTATACTCTTTCTTTTGGGCATTTGCTGCAGCGAAAATTGTTTGACCACATTTATTTAACGGAAACCCAATAATTTACAGATTTTCTCGAAAGGACAAGTACACATACAGATACACAGGTATAGGGGAATCCCGCGTCAAAAAGTGATGCCCGAAAAACAAATATCGGTGGGTTTCAATGGGTTCGGCATCTTATCTCGATTTCTTGCATATGCAGTTTTAATCTTACAGGAAAGAAGTAGGGAGATAGCACTTTATACAAAGTAATAAGAATTTGATAAGGCACAATTTGATAATACCCATGAAAAATTTCGGGAAACTAGGCCCAATCACAAGAATACATTTGAAAAACAACGAAAAGCAACAAGCAAAACAAAAACAATCCCATGAATATTACAAAAACAACAAAACACTACACCAGTCCAGAACTTGAAAAGAGGGTGTTGAATCTGTGGTCAAACTTTTTTATCGTCGAATCTAAATTTTTTTGGATTGTGCACAGCACGCGAAATTCGAACCTCACTTAGAAGCGACGGGCACCCCAAACTCCGGTGTTGGAAGAAGCAGCCGGCCCAGTTGATCCGCCCATCTCAGGAAAATCCTCTCCAGAGAGTTGCCATGGCGCATTCTTAACCTAAAAAGAAAAAGTATATGTAACTACAGACAGTCAACGTACTTGAACAGTTTGAAGCTTTGGCTTTTCGTCGGCAGGCTGGGAGCGTTGTGACATGTATTGATACTAAACGCAAAAAGTTTTGAAAAAAAAATTGTGACTTACGCGGTCTTGACGCTCGCTCAAATAGTCCTCTTCTGAAAAAATGTAAGTAGATTCAAAATCAGATCAGTACTATACCTTCTCGACGAAGGAAGTCAATACAATCCCAAACGGCATCTTCATTTTTACCAGCAACGGTCACAAGCGTCGGCTTTGGATCATCGCCACGTGGCAGAGTAATCTCAACTCCGAACTCAGCCATAACCTTGAAATAGATACTAGCTGCCAATCCAGACTATTTGTAATACCTTCTTGAGGTTGATGCCTTTAGCTCCAATCAAACGAGGATGATAGCGGGGATCGAGTGAAATTTCCTGGGCCATCATCGATTTGATGTCAGCAAGGAATGATTCTATTTCGGCGGCACAGTCACGAGCATTGGATTCGTATCCATGAATAGTGATCTTGTCGCTCGTGTTCTCTCCACGTGGAAGTGAGATTTGAACATCGAACTTTTCACGCAGCTTTTTGACAGTCTCTCCGCGTGGCCCGATAATTTTTTGATGATAGACAACGGGCACCTAAAATAGATTTTTCAATAACCAAGATGCAGTAATACCTCAAGCTCAAGTTCCCAGCTTTTCAAACGACGATCTTCCGCCTGAGCATCAAACTCCTCACGTTTCACGTCAATAGCCTTAAAAGCAAAGCTTTAGCTCATAAACTTTAAAATACTTGAATAGCGGCCTCGACAGCTTCTTGGGTACCAGTCACCGTGATTTCATTGGAATTTTCATCCTCCTTAGGGATTTTGATGTTGACATCGCATTCCTAAACATAGATATAATGAGCGGTTGTGCGAGCGCTACAATTGAAAGATAAAATTTTGCTTACCTGCATGATCTTCCTAACAGCATCGCCTTTGCGGCCAATAAGGAAACGGTGCATCTCGAAGGGAACTTCGACCTTAAGCGTGTTCGATTAAAAAGATGACTAACGAGTTGATTACTTGTTTGCTGATGGGAACAAGAGCCAGGAGAGCATCACGTGCAGCCTCGCATTTGGAATCCTGTTTCAATTAAAAATAAAAACTCTCTGAATTACAAGCTTACTCGACCACTGATCGACACTTGATTGGCATCAATGGTTGAATCTTCTTCTGCCTGGCGACGATCAGGGAATCGAATTTGGCAATTGAATTGGCTTTGAAGCTCATGGACTTTTTGCCCACGGTTGGCCAAGATAGCACGATGGTGATGATGTGGAATATCGATGTGGATAGTTGTATGATGCTAAAACAAGAAATAGAAAACCAAAAAGTGAAAAGATGCGCAAACCTCATAATCCTCAACAATCTCTTCAATTCGTTGCTTGGCCGACTCAACACATTGTTTTGAGCCCTTGATGGTGACAGTTGAAGCTCCATCTCCGGCTTTCGGAAAAGAAATGCTGACTCCACCGTTCGATTCTTGGATGTCCTTCACAAGGAATGCTCCTCTTGACAAGAAGTTCTTGTGGTACTTGGGGTCGACTTCAACCGTGATCTCAACCGTTTCATTGAGTTGTTTGATCAAAGCTTCAAGCTCTTTCTTGGTGCCATCCACGTCTTCCTTCTTGCCGATGAGGTGAATGGTCTCCTTATCTTCGTCATTCTCTCGGGGAAACATGACTCGCACATCGTATTGCTCACGCAGCTTTTTGATTTTTGCGCCACCCTTGCCAATCAGATAACGATGGAATTCAGGCTTGGCCTTGAGCGAATCCTCATGAGTGTCCAGCTTATCTTGTGCCATCTTTTGCAAAAGCGCAATCGCTTTTTCGGCATCACCCTAAAGCATAAATAAACTTCTCAAGCATTTTCAAACGTACTTGTGGTCCGCGAACAACGACTTTTTCGGAGTCGCTCTTCTCTGCGGGGAACTTGACATGCACACCACCACATTCCTCCTCGATATCAGCAATAAGCTAAAAAGTTAATTAATTATCATGAAAAATTTCAAGCTGTTACCCGGCGTCCTGCCCCAAGCAGTCTTTGTTGAATCTTGACTGGGATGTTTACTTCGAGGGTCACAATTGAGGCCAACTCGTTTTGAATCTTCTCCAATTGTTTCACCGCCTTTTCCACATTCTCCTGAATTATACTATTTTAAAAGTTCCAAAGATAAAAGTTCTACCTTCTTGCCGGTAACCAAAATCTTATCATCCGAGCTTCCGCCTTCGGGCATATCAATGCGCGTATTGGTTTCGTCGCGGATTTTACGAATATTGATTCCCCCTTTTCCAACAATATGTTTGATGAATTCCTAAAGTAAAAAGATTTCTTGATTTTCGACTACATATAAAATTACCTTGAAGGTTAGAACAGCCTGTTGATAATTGGTCTCTTGAAGATCCTTGGCGATTTTCTAAATTTTTTATTTATTTTAGAAAATTTTTGCCGCCATTATTTTTTCTTGATTAGAAGCGCTTTTTACAAACCTGGAGCTGTTTGTACGCGGCATCGACCTCATTCTTATCCCCTCGAAGATTAATGACATCACTCTTCTTGTTGGCCTAGAACGCAACGTATTTAACAATAAAAATAAATAAATTACCTCTGGCAGACTGAAAACAACTGTGGGATATTGTTGGCGGAGCTTCTGGATCTCACCACCTTTTTGACCAATAATTAATTTGTGGAAGCGTTGCTCGATGATGATATCACGTGATTTCTCATTCTCGATCTTCGAAACAATTTGGCGAATTTCGGCAACGGCTTTCTTCACACCATCCTTCTTTCCTTCGATGGTAATCTCATCGGAGTTCTAGAATGTTTACAATGACTGTTTAAAAAACTAAATAACTCTTACCGTTGACTCGTTGGGAATATTGATTAGAACCCCAGTCTCATCCTTGATCTTTGAAATAAGCGAGCCACCTCTGAATTAAAAGATTGGTAAGAAATGTGGCTAAATAAAACCTTCCAATGACGTGTCTATGAAGGGTTGGGTGAACCTTGACTTTCTCAACAGTCATTTCTTTGACGAGGCGATTGACCTAAAATACATCAAATTAATTACAAATCTCGTTAAACATACCTCGTCAGTCAGGGTAGTTTGAGCCGTCTTTACTTCTCCAGGTGGTCCCTCCAAATAGATAGCACCAGAGTCATCGAAATCAATGTGAACTTTGTCGCGGTTTGGTACCAACTGAGCAAGGATGCTGCCCTTTGGACCAATGAGGTGCTTGTGCAACCAAATTGGAGCTTGAATCTAAAAACGCTATCTACTTGTATTTTCAAATTAGAACAAAACCTGAGCAGCAATCACAGAAGACGCTCTTGAAATAACTAAGGCTAAAGCTTCTCCAAGTTTAGCAGGATCTCCTCTCAAAGTGATCGTTTCGCTGTTGTCTTCTTCCGATGGCACTTCCACGCTGACCCCAGTATTTCGAAGAACCTCGTGCAAGCCTGACCGCTGTTGCCCAATGACGTATCGATGCTGAGCGCGATTCACCTAAAACAAATAAGTCTACTGTCAAGATCAATCTTTTTTACTTGGCAAGTAACGCTCTTTACAACGCGTTCTTTTTCGGTCACAATAGCACGGATAGTAGCGGCAGCTTTCAGAACACCATCGCGCTCGCCAGTGATCACAATAGTTTCATCTGTTGCAGCCGGTGGTGGAATATTGATCTAAAAATCAATAAGCTCCGCTTCTTGTAACTTCAAGTCTTACTTTAGCTCCAGTGCTAGCGACCAGGTTGTCCAAAAATTCGTTGTTGGGCCCACGTACCCAAGGAATGTAGACTTTGGCACATTTGACACGTTCAACGGCAAGTTTAGCCTGAAAACATTACAGTTGATAACTGTAACTCAAAACTAACTTGTTGCTCGGAGACACGTTTGATATGAGCAATGGCCCGATCAATTCCTTCACGTGGTCCCGTAACCTTGATAGTCTAAAGAAAAAAATACATCGTGAACGACCTAAACGCAAACCTTGCTATTTTCATCACGCCCAGGAACCATGATTCGACAATTGGTATCGGCTTCGAGCGAACGCAAAGCAGCTCCTTCCTTACCTAGAAGTTACCACATACATATTTGTTTATAGAAAGCAACCAATTAAGGCACGATGGTGTTCCTTGGGAATTTCAACTTCGCGAGCAAGTTTAGTTTGAAGGGCACGCACAACCTATAGTACAAAATGGTATAACATTAAATTGTTTTTAACTCTTACCGAGGCACGAGCCTCTTCGACTTTAGCCCTAGGTCCTTTGATCATGACAGTCAGAGAATTGTCCCTCGACTCGCTGAGCTCAATTCGCGTGCCGGTAGCTTGAGCAATTTCTTGACAAGATTTCTGTTCCTCGTTTCCGAAGGTCTTGATTTTCTTGGAAGCGCGTTCATCGGTAGCCAACGTGAAAACCTAAATCAAGAGGTTTTAGAAATTTAACTTAAAAACTTGACAAAGAAATTTTACAAAACAAAAACCTGTGTCACGGTCGTTGCGCGGACAGCTGGACGAGTGTTCCAAGCTCCACCAGCAGGCTTGGCTTGAGGAGCAGCGGGAAGCGTTGGAAATTCAGTCGAGTAGTCGATTTCAATGACGCCTGAGTTGTTGTTCATCTTTCCGTTCAGTTCATTTTCGTTGTGTCCATTTTGATGAAGTTCAGCTCCGTGTTCCATTCTCGTTAATTGTCGATCGGCGTATCCTTATACATTTTGATTAAAAAAGATTTTTCAGTTACTAACCGTTCCGAGGGTACCTTCAGGAGTTCAGGAAGAGAAGGGCTTAGAAGTGGGACGTTTCCACACTAACAAGCCTAAATAGAACTGATAAGAAATAGGCTTGACACAAAGAAAGAAAAGGGAGATTGACAGGTCTAGATGGAAAATGCCAACAAAGGATCTGGCCACGTTGAACCATTTTGCAGTCTTTTACAAGAATTCAAAACAAGTGTTTAAGTTTTGCGGGGGAAATCAGCGGAATGTTTGAATTGAAAAAATGATAGACACAATCGAAGATCAAGAACAAAGCAATCAAGATCGAAAATCGCGATCATCGATTGATATTTAGGTCGATAGTTGCTGGGGGAGCTCTAGAGTGACCCCTCTCACCCGCTCTTTCCTTTGGGTCGAGGTCACGTTCGGTTCACGGAGAGTGGTGCGCTCTGTTTGAGCAAACGATGCAAATAGACGGTCGGTTAAGGAGGTCAACAAGAGGAAGTACTCGCCCACTCGGGTAAAATTCTTACAGTGAGAATAAATTAGGTAAGTTAGAAGATTGCTAGCAAAACCAATCTTGTGCCTTCTTAAACGTACAATTAGTGTTTTAGCGCCGGGTAAACTTGCCGAAGTTGGGAAGGATATCACCTTGTTTTTTAGGGTACATATGCATAAAATATGCAGATACGTTTGAAGATCTACGGAGACAAAACTGCGACGAGGCTCAGGAACCACTACAAAGCGGTTCCACTAGCGAAATCGAAATGATACACATCGAAAACGTGCAAGACACAAGCAAATTACACTAACTAAATAAACAGTCAAAGAGGGGGCGGGGCAATTGCGATTTTTTTTGCGCAACTGGGTCAAAAGCGCAACTTTTTCAGAGTTTTAACTAAATATTGAACATTTTGTTTAAAAAGTTGATTTTCTAGGGATCGGAATTTAGGGTCTCCTAACAAACATACCCCCTTGCGCATTTACCAGATGGCTTCTAAATGTTCTGAAATGTCGATATTCGGGTTCTAGGACCCCAAATTACCCAGAAAATCAACTTTTTAAACAGAAATGTTCAATCTTTAGTTTTAGGGAGCTTTTTTAAAACTCCGAAAAAGTTGCGCTTTTGACCGGTTGCGCAAAAAAAAGGTCACAATTGCCCCACCCCCGAGATGAGATCTTAATAGCTAAAGCTTAAAGGTAAACGATTCAAAAGTTTCAATGAGTTCAAATGCAATGGTCTGATCTGATCAGACAGTTCGATTGAGAACGCGTGGCAATCTTCAGGCCCATAAAACTACACCGGAGACGCAGACAAACAGAGAAAAGTAAACCCGCACAAACGCAGACTGCACAAAATACGTAAAAATGTGAACAATTTTGCAAGTTTTTTAGATTGAATGCGTGCCTGTAAAATTGCTAGGAGATTTGCAACTGTCCCGTTTCCAGTAGACTTGCTTAGCGATATTATCGATACAAAGCTCATGCTTGACCGTTCAGATCTTAGTTTCTAGAACGGCTATCAATATGAAAATAGTTTCATTGGAAAGTCAAGTATGTCAGCGTTTGATTACTATTTTACTATACTACATACTACATAGCGACTTCTAATGAGTAAGCACCTCATAAACCTTATCAATACTTATTGATATCGAAAGTATCGATTATCGATAGACTTATCGATGTTTGAGTATTGATAAGTATTGAGAAGCTTTTTAAGGCACTCACCTATGAGAATTTGCTATGAAATAGCAATAAAAAGCTAGCATTCTTTGCTTTCCAATGAAACAATTTGCAGATTGATAGCTGTTCTAGAAACCGGGATCTGAATGGTCGAACATGAGCCTGCCGTTTGTATCGATAATTTCGATAAGCAAGTCTAGTTTCCAGTAATTTTTTTGAGATTAGTGTGTCAAAATTTCAAGTTGAGACAACTTTGCTTTGCTCATTTTAATCTTTCAATATTTTTATTTTCAATCTTTCTTAATCCTTTAGTATTCATGGATCATTTACGGAACACGCTCGATTTGCTCAAGTCGTTGCCCGTCGCTGAGATGACGCCGGACCAAAAAGACCATATAAGGAAGCTGGGCAAGAAACTTTTGGAAGCCGAAAAAGAGGTCGGTTTTGCTTGAGCATAACGGTATAAAGATTGTTTTAGGCGTTGGCCTTCGAAAAGTTGCGCAATGAGGGGGGTCTCACGTTTTCGCTTGAGCTGCGCATCGAGAAGAATTTCGAAAATGTCGAGAACAAGTTGGTGATTGTTGGCTACAAATGATTGCATTGCTTTAGGATCCACGATTTGATGCTTGGCACTCAATGTCAATCGCAACTAGCACCCGAAGTCAAGGAGCTTTTGGAAAGTCTGGTTAATTCTTGATTACAAATTAGTTTTTAGTGCCTAAGTTTACTTTGTACATCTTCAAATTGTAGGACGAAGCCGAATCTGACGGTGATCTCGAAATTCAAACCGTGGGCGTGAGCATCAACAAAGTGGACCCAATCTCACGAAAACCCATCACGATCCCAATGAAAAATCCTGTATTTGAAAATTTCAAGTAAAATGACATTTAATATTTGCTTTAGAAATGCGGCCATGTCTACGATCGCGACACAATCACAGAATTCGTTAATGGTCTCGGTGCCCGAACGTAAGCTATTCTGGCCAGATAATTAATATTCTACTTCCTTTTAGGCGCAAACAAGCTGGGAAAGCCAGATGTCCCGTACAGGGTTGTGGAAACAAGGAGGCGGTCAACGTTTCGCTTCTGAAGGACTTTCCCGAGTATTTCGATCTTCTCAAAGCCGAGGAAGCCAAACTGAGAGTAGCAAAAGATAAGGATAATACAATAGAGTTATAATTGTTAGTGTTTTTACGGTTCATTTGTATCAATTGACTTTATGCGGGTGTTACATTGTTGTTTCAAATGTGTTCTTTTGTTATTTGAATAAATATTTGAAATCTAAAATGCATATAGAATAACCGATTACGGTGGTGAAATTCCAATCTTACATGATGCAAATTCGTCTACCTATTTTGATGCTGACATCGAGATTTAAGATGGCTTTGAAAAGAAATCCGGATTTCGGCTTGGATGATTTGTCCTCCGACTTTGATCCAGCTGAAAGTTCTGAGCGATTGGGTTAGTCTCTTGTTACACTTTCTGATTTTATCAAATGGTTTAGGTAAGCGGCGGAAAGGGGAGTTTCTCGAAAAAGAACACCCTGGAGAAGAACCAAAACCGCGAAGAAGTGAAGGAAAGAAGTGGTTTCAAGAAGAGCATGGACGGATGACCAGGTATAGGTTTTAGCTTAAATAAAGTTATGGTTTCTCAGACAAGTTCACCTGGGAAGAATTTTAGGCAACTTTCACGTCTGTCTACGCTTAACGCTTACCAAAGACACAAGGAAATGATCAATTTGTACTACCTCTACCATCCTGATGCTAACCGACACATCATGGAAAGAGATACGAGCCGTGATAAGACTGACTACGATGTTTTAAAAGTAAGTTTTTTTTTAAAGCTCAATTATCTTTGTTTGCAGGCTAACCATAAATTTCTATGGTCTAATGAAGATGAAGCAGAGACGTCGAAAAATTGGGAGAAACGACTAGCTAAAAAATACTACGACAAACTCTTCAAAGGTTAGTGTTGATGTCTTTGGATTTAACGTAACTTTTTAGAGTATTGTATTGTTGATACAGTACATTATCGCCACAATAAAATTGGAATGCGCTGGCGTACAGAACAAGAGGTAAAAATTCTAAAAATGAGATGGTTATAAGTAAATTATATATAGGTAAAAAGCGGGAAAGGACAATTCAAATGTGGCAGTCGCAAATGCGAAAGAACCGAAGACTTGAGCAGTTGGGAGGTTGGGTTTTTATGCATTTAGCATCAAGCATTTTGTTGCAGGTTAACTTTTCGTATGTTGAAGAGGGTCAACGAAAAAATGCTCTTGTCAAAGTGAGGCTATGCCCTGAGTGTGCTGAGAAGTTAAACTATGGAAGCAAAAAACGAAAGGTTGGTAACTTTAAAGTTATTTAACTTTCTGCGAATTATTTAGGTGGAAAAATCAGATCGCAGCTCCAAGTGGCGTTCAAAAAAGATTCCAATAGCCGACGATGCTCCAGAAGAAAAAAAAGTCGAAGAGAATGATGGTAAAATTTGTCTTCGTTACAAACAAAAAATTTATTTCAAGAAAAAGCGACAACTTCTAAAGAGCTCAAAACTGCCGTCGAAATTTGGAGCGCCCCGCATCAAGCCGAAGTGGAAAAGACAGTGGATAACGAAATTGACGACTTCTTGAATGATATTTTTGATTAACGGGTATTGTTTTTGTACATAATTTTTGTGCTTTAATAAAAGAGATAAATTTATTACTAACAAATTAAATACGAAATACACGTATATAAAGTTGAGATCAAAACGGCAATGTTGGCACATTCGGAAGTAGATTTCGTTTTAAATGCTGAGCCCACAAAATGAGAGTTCGCTTCCTAATTTACCTTCCAATTTACTGAGGTAAACTCGATAAAGCAGCCTGAAAATGTTTTTTGGACTCGTTTTGATTAGATCGGTTTACCTTGGGATTAAAGCTGTGACAACAGTTAAGAGTTCAACAATGTAGAAGCTAGCTTGCACTGAAATTTTGCTACTTTTGGTTTGCGAAGGTAAAACTTACTCATTAAGCGAAAAGAAACGAGAACCGGTGGTCCATAAAGACCTAAAATCAAGCATTCTCATCAATAAAAACCAATAATTTCTCACCACTCCAGGGACCAATTACCGCGTGATAAGCCAAGAAAAATACAAAATGAAGAACCGTGAAGAAAGCGAAAATCACCCAAATCGGCCAAGTCTAAAATCGGTCTACTTTCAATTTGAGGCTTTTTCCACTCACCCAACAACGAACTTCTAGAGCCAAGTGAAAAGTGTTGCACTGAAAAAGTGGCTTTATTTTGATGATAAAGATTTGACAAAAAATGATTATAATCTGTAAAACAAACCAAAAACATTGAGGTGGCGAGAACGAACCCGAATTCCCAAAGACCCACACTTGTATTCACTGCCCACTATAATTTGATCAAATTTTCTCATCTTTTCATTTCAACTCACAATATGAGCACAGTAGTAACAAACGGCTGCCTGATAAAGAGCATCCAAAATATTGAAAAAGAAAAGTTTCCATGAATAGCACTGTCCTTCCATTGTTTTACTGGAAATGTTAAAATTTTTTTTTTTTTGAGAAAATCTAAATCTTTTTACCGGTACAACGATGGTCTCTCTATTAACAAACGACCTTCGTACGCTTGATCGTACATTCCGTAAATGATCGGTTGAACGCTAAAAAGATTTTTCTTCTTTATTTTCTTCTTCTATCCATTTTACTAAACCTTGTGAAAACGATTGAGTAAAGCATCGAGTAGATCGGATCCATCGGGCTTTCCCCCGAGTATAGCGAATAGAATTGACAAAAGAAGATGATGAAAACGAGAAGCTGAAGTTGGATATGGGCAATTCATTGAAAAAAAAAACTTACAGCGTTTTTGTAGAGAAAATACAAGTATGTGTTCGCGATTCGATCGTAGTTCCAGTGCCCGTGAATCAATAGGAGACGCTTGAGGAAACGGAAACGAGCGATCGCGAAGTCAGAAGCCATCACTGCCTAGAAAGATTGATTTTTTTTGGTTTAAATTTGAAGTATTCTTCGACTATTTGAGTCAGCTAATACCGTTTTCTAAAACAAATCAACTTTTAAAACTATTGTAAAATAACCTCAACCTTTTGTCCAATCTAGCTAATTTTGGCTAATTCTGCGAGGGAGTTCATAGTAGATTTAAACGAAAACATCTGTCGGTCCTTTAAGGTTTGTCGTGTTTTTCTCAGCACCAACCATTCCTTTTTGACTATTTTACTATCATTCGATGCAGAATAAAATTGTGCGTCGAATGATACCAAAATCAACTCCAAATATAATATCCATGCAAAGTTGTTGGCTAAAAATTGAAACCCCGCCCATTATGGGTGGAACTTAACTTTTTGCCTCATAACTTTGCATGGATATTACATTTTGAGTTGATTTTGGTATCATTCGACGCGTAATTTTATTCCGCATCGAATGATAGTAAAATAGTCAAAAAGGAATGGTTGGTGCTGAGAAAAACACGAAAAACTTTAAATCGGCAAAGGCAAAAAAAAGGGCCAACTTTTTTTAAAAGTTTATTTCATAAGGATCAGGCTTGCAGTCGGAAAATTGAATATCTTTTGATTTTGAAAGAAAAACTCAACAAATGGGGCAGCTATGGGCAATTTTTTTCCGATTTTTCCGTCGCAGTGCGTAGCTGCCCCATTCGTTGGGTTTTGATTTGAAAATCAAAAGGTATTCAATTTTTCGCTTTTTCCGCTTACAAGCCCGATAGGAATACCGAGAAAATATAAAAAGTATAGATTGAATAAAACTAAAGACAAGATTACGATCATTTTCAAAAGTTGACACGTTTTCGAAGAAAAGAACAACCAATTTTCCAACCCACCTGCATTCCCTCATTTCCACTCACACCAACGCCCACGTGGGCCGCTTGGATCATCGGCACATCGTTGGCTCCATCACCTGTGAAATGTTCGTATTTTAAGTGCAAAACAACAAAAAAAAACAACAATCTATAATATTAATCTATAATACAATCTATCTACAGGCTTTTGAAGCTATAGCTATGGGCCATTGAAGCTATAGTTACGGGCTATTGAAGCTATAGCTATGGACCATTGAAGCTATAGATACGGGCTTTTGAAGCTATAGCTACGGGCTATTGAAGCTATAGCTATGGGCCATTGAAGCTATAGCTACGGGCTTTTGAAGCTATAGCTACGGGCGTTTACCAACCAATCGCCAGCACACGACCACCGAAATTCTTCTTCACACAAGCCACCACTTCGCTTTTCTCGGACGGGGTCATCCGGTAGCAGAGAACGGAAGCACTTCTGCAATTTTCGATGCAATTTCTTGTTTCTTTAACTTGTTTTCCTTTCAAACCATACCTCTGCACAATGTCCAACAAAGTTGTATCGTTTTCCTTCAAGATCGTCAATGCTTGCGGGTTGAGTTTGATGTTACACCTAAAAGTAAGCTTTGATTCAAACTTCGATTCAAATTTCTTATTTTCTTTATAAATTTACCGTCCAATTCCAGAAATGTTCGGCAAATCGTCGCGCGTTGAGACGTTGACTTCAGGATGTCGTGGATCGAAAAGACCACAAGAACGGGCTGGAAAGGAGTTTTTAGAAACAGTCTAAAGTCTACCCACAGGCAATTTTTGATTACCTATATTTTCAGCGGTTTCCAACTTGTCTCCGGTTAGTAGCCAGACTTGAAGACCGGCCTCGCGTAGAGAGGAGATCGTATCGGAGACTCCTTCCTGAAGATTTTTGTTAGCTCATACTGACAAGGGATAGTCAACAGATCCAGCTCACCAAAGCTTAAATCAACAGATTCAGCTCACCAAATGAAATAATCCATATACCATACGACGCAGAATTTTACGCTGAATGATAGATAGATATAATCTCAAACTAAAAGTACAAACCTCTTACTATACCTCTTGTAACGAAAATCAGATCAATCTCAAGTACAAGCAATATCCGAATATCTGATTCGTTTTTGCAAAATGTTTCTGAATCGCGCGCAATTTGGGAAACAATTTTTTCGACTTCTCTTTATAAGGCTTACGCGCGCACTGCGGGAAATGGCTGGATAGTGTAGTGGATATTGGGGAGGATATGGAGTAGCTACTCGAGTGTTCGGATCCGCTTACTTTTTTTTGTAAACATTTTTATGGTGTCTCTCATAGGTTCAAGTCTCTACTATGCTATTTGTGTATTGTATATGTATTTTGATGTTGCTTTTACTTGAGATTGATATGATTTTCGTTACAAGAGGTATAGTAAGAGGTTTGTATTTGTAGTTTGAGATTGTATCTATCTATCACTTCGAGATAAAGATATTCTGCTTATTGGTCGAATAGAAGGATTGTGACGTTCAGGCTTTATTCTTTTTGGGTTCTTGTTGTTATATCCACGAGATTTAAATAATCTAGCAATAAGTGCATTGTCCATTCAAATATGAGGTTCTCAAAATTACGATTAAGAACAAGATGGAGAATCTTTTTCTGGAGAACAAAACTTTTTCTGTAAACGCTCTTGCGTAGATGGAGCAGTTCTTGTTACAATTTTCTACGGATAAGATTCATAAGTACCTTTGTTATCTTTATCTTTATCTTTATCTTTATCTTTCTCTTTATCTTTCTCTTTCTCTTTCTCTTTATCTTTCTTTATCTTTGTCTTTATCTCTATCTTTCTTTGTCTCTTTTAGAAATTCTAGGCAATAAACATTTTCTCCTATATCGAAATGATCGATTCATTCAAAATGATCGATTCGTTCAAAATGATCGATTGATTCAAATTTACTTGTAGCTTATCCTCCACTCCGGTCACTCCCAACAACGTCAAGTTGCTCTCAATCTCATCAGCTTTCTGCGCCAACATCATTTCCCTCTCCGAGGTGGTGTCCATTTCGATCTGAATCAAGTTATCAAGTTTTGCTTACTGTTACAGCAAAGTTACGAATGATCAGTACAGATTCCAGGATTCTTTAGCTTTTTTAGCCAAGTTTCTTTAGTTTCAAATATAAATTCAAATATATAATTCAAATACAAACTCACAAATTGGTAAGCTGATGAGAATTCCTGGTACTCATCCCATGTTAACCGTCGCATCCCATAGACGAGAGTGCTGTAATGAAAACGTATACAAATTTCGGCTTTTAATTACCGTAATCCTTTTCCAGCATAGTGTCCAAGCAGAGCACGAGCCTTATCGGGTGACATTTGCGAGGCACCGATCGACCGAGCTGACGAGGTTTCTGAACGAGAATTGGATTTTCATTTTCAGAAGAATATTTAGATAAACAGATAGATTATTTTTATGGAATTTTAAAGAGATCACAGAAATCACAGAAATCACAGGAAATCTACCATTTTCTGATTCATCAAAGACGGGCGGAGTTGCCCCGTCTCGCAAACGGGTCAACATCGAGGCGTCGGCGCCCTGAAAGCACTATATTGTTGAAAACTCAATTGCTATTGAAAATCAAGAATATTTAATGATCAATAAGTTCAATACTAACGTAAATATCATTCTATATTCTAAAACCTGTAGCGGTTACTGTAGGTTACTGTAGCGATTAAATGTCGCATATTCTAGACAATATTACTGTAAAATTTCACCTTTGTATACAGAATTGGTCCCGATTTCCCCTTGATGATAATGGACATTCGCTTTCGATTCGCGTCAAAGGGGAGCACTCGGAGGACCTCGATTCTGAAAGATACAAAAGTTTGTATCTTACAGTAATTTTAAAATAATTAGATAATCAACATTCATTTTCATTCAAGAATCTACAGATTTTGTAGATTCATCTGTTTTTTTTTTGTAGATTCAACAACTTCTTTCACAGATGAATTGTACAAAATCTCTAGATTTAAGTGTTTAAAATTTGTTTCTGTTTAAAGTCAGAGAATGGAAAGAGAAGAAATTCAATAGAATTTTGATACTTTTCACTAGCAAACCTTTGATTTTGTTGATCGGGGAATTGCAGGGTGACGTGAGTGGCGCCGCGCTCCTGCAGCACGAATCCGTATTGAGCAGCACCCTGGAAATTGAAGTATTGAAGTATTGAAGTAATAAATACCCCAGAAAAGCTAGGTTTTCAATTTTTGAGCACTTTGAAGTCAAGTGTGTATTCGAAATAATAATAGCTTTTATAAATCAAAAATTTGTACCTCAACTAGAGCCAACTCGTCGGGACTTTCGGCCTCGTAGCGACTCTCTTTTTTCGTCTTTGGTCCTTTATGATGTTTGTGGCGAAAGTTGTGCACAGAAGAGGCGGGTGAAGAGATTCTTGAATGAAAATGATTGCTGATTATCTAGTTATTTAAAAATTACTATAAAATACAACTCACATGCTACTGATTCTCGGTAGGAAATTGCGGATGCTGTGCGAGAGGCGTTGGGAGAAAGTCGAAACCCGGGAAAGGCGTTGACCGGCCGACTGAATTTCGGTTTTAAATATTCAAAAATAGCTATATTTTATCTAATATATTACATCTAATATATTAGATCTAAATAGTAATCTAAATAGTAATCTAAATAGTAATCTAAATAGTAATCTAAATATTAGATCTAAATAGTAATCTAAATAGTAATCTAAATAGTAATCTAAATATTAATCTATTAGGTTGATGCATAAGTCTTTTTGTTCCTTTTCGTCTGCCGTTTCAAGCCAACAAATGCACGAATTAAACTACGGTTGATTTCATTAGAAAAACCAATTATTTTTCTGCAAAATAACATTAAAACGGGTTTAAAAATATTTTATGCCTGGATTTTCTTGAGAGTATGAAGTCGGGTAGTCAAAAAGGGCTAACTCGATGATGCGGTTTAGACACCTTAGCTAAAGAAAACCTATCATCTTCGTGTCAATAGATAAAAGATAGAGAAAAAAAACGTTTGATATTTCGCCAAAATTTCAGAGAAATTCATTCAGCCAATTTTTCCGTAGAGTTTTTTATAGATTTTTACGAAAAAGGCGTTTTTCACTCTCGAATTTGCTTGAAAGTGAACCGAAATTCATTTAAAAAGATGCAAATTGAACAAAAAAACACTTTTTTTATAGAGCAAACTATAGATTAATTGGTGAATTTGTTACTTTTTAACAGAAGTACGAAAAAAACGAAAAGACTTATGCATCAACCTAATAAATATTAATCTAAATATTAGATCTAAATAGTAATCTAAATAGTAATCTAATCTACTAGTGTTTAGCTGTATTTTGATCTCTATTCAAAGCTTCACCTTTTCATCACTATTCTCTTCCTCGTCTTCGGAGGTGATCGCGTCGAGAGTCGTGTCCGAGTTTGAGATCACTGCCTGCCAATTGGGTACTGGTCTAAAATCGTTTCAATCTAGATAGATTCAATTGAATCTATTCTAAAATAGCTTCAATTTAAGGAGGTTTAAAGAAAAGTAAAAATAAACTCGAATCAGCATATCCAATTCTATAGGATTTTTCAACCGGGTCTAGGATGTTCAATCGAAAATTTGATCCTTTAGATTTGAATGAATTTGATGCTTTAAACGGATGTTTGAAAGGCGAAGAAAAGCGAAGAAAAGGTACGTTGATAGGCTAATGGATAACGAGATAACGAGATAACACAGCAGACTTTCGCAGCAGACTTTCGCAGCAGACTTTCGCAGCAGACTTTCGCAGCAGACTTTCGCAGCAGACTTTCGCAGCAGACTTTCGCAGCAGACTTTCGCAGCAGACTTTCGCAGCAGACTTTCGCAGCAGACTTTCGCAGCAGACTTTCGCAGCAGACTTTCGCAGCAGACTTTCGCAGCAGACTTCCGTTCACGGAACCAGGGTTCGGTTCTTGATGCAGCAAAGAAAAACTAGAAACTAAGAGCTGCATCAGGGACCGAACTCTGACCCTGCGAGTCGGAGTCTAATTCCTTATCCACTAAGCCACCGACGCACCTTCGCCCCGCTAGAGAAGCAGCCTATTAAGCCTATCGTTTTAACCGCTAGAGAAGCAACCTAACTCCAAATTTTCGTTTGAAGTTTTACACACATTTGGCGGATTTTAATTTCAGATTCGAATTCCGCATACCCGATTCTATAAAGCTCACTAGGTGGGCAGATAAAAGCTCACCATTAGTTGGTGCCAACCAAGCCTAGACTGGCCTGGCTGGACTCTGAAAATTTGGGTTTGAGATTCTGGACCGAGCTTTCTTTCAAAAAAAAGCCTTGATTTTGTATTTGCCTTGATCTATATATTCTTAAAATGTAATCAATACACGTCTCTCACTCACTCTTCTTCATCGACGAAACGAATCGCGCGTTCTTTATGAATCCGATATCTCTCTTGTCGCTCGAGGAATTCGGGCTCGGTGACCGTGTAGAAAGAGGAGTTGTCAATCGTGTACACTCCGTCCTCGTATTGGCCAACCTTGAAATTATGCTGTAATAGCTTTCACTAAGGTATTGCAAAATATCTACATAGTAAGAATATTTTGTTGAGATTCCTTTGCAAACCCGATCCTCTTACCTCTAACATATCTCGATGCTCTCTATTCACCACCACCGTGTTGCAAATAGCCAAATTGGTAAAGAAATTTCTGAAAATGTTTTATAGTTTAAATTTTTAGGGAATGGAACAAATGCGATCTTTTTTTTGCGCACCCGGACATTTGCGCACCTTTTTTTCGGCACCTAGCCCATTAGCGCACCTTTTTTCGCGTTTTAAAAAAGCTCTAAAAGCTAATATTAACCAATTTCTATTCCAAAAGTTGTTTTTCTAGGTAATTTGAGGGTGTCGAATTCAAATTTTGACATAACAAAGCTTGTGGAACCAATTTGAAAGACAAAACGGCTAGATCAAATTACAGAAAATTGTTGATTGTTGATTGTTGATTTTTCTCTTTGTATAACTCCGTCCGTTCGCTTCCACAAGCTCTGATATGCCAAAATTTCGATTCTACGCCCTCAAATTACCTAGAAAAACAACTTTTGGAATAGAAATTGGTTAATATTAGCTTTTAGAGCTTTTTTAAAACGCGAAAAAAGGTGCGCTAATGGGCTAAGTGCGGAAAAAAAGGTGCGCAAATGTCCGGGTGCGCAAAAAAAAGGTAGCATTTGTCCCACTCCCAATTTTTATACTTTTATAAAAGTTATTCAAGTTACTAGTTTTATCAGTCAGTCCCTTATCTCAGTCTGAAAAGTTTACAGCGTTTAAACTAATAACTTTCAAAAGTTTCTCAACTATTGCTAAAGATATTTAGTCTTTATAGTTGAATAACTATTGTTTAGGGTATTGTAAGAAATATATATTTATACTTTTATCTTTTATAATTTCTTGTGAGACCGTGTCTCGGTGTGGTTCAATGGTAGATGTCTCTTGGAAACGCAGAATTTATCAAAACTTTCCCTTATTAGGGCAAACTGGAGCAACCTGGCACTATCACAATTACTTCAACACTTGCGTGTGAAAAAAAAAGGATGAATAGAAAAGGGAGACCTCAACTGACTCAAAACAAAGCTTAAATAACGGGGTTTTTAAGTCCACAAGCTGCGACAAACGGACAACTGAATATCGTCTAGTGGCTGATTACGGTAGTTTATCCATCAACTTTAGATTTTAACTTGTGTATTGAATTTTGACTAACTGCAGAGCATTCGCCACAGGTATTGTAATGGGTTAAAGTATTAGATGTAGTATTTTAAAAAGCTTACTGTAAACTCTCATCGAGACGCCACGTGGAAAGAACGCGAACTCTCAACTCGTCGGTTGGATGAAGACCTGTTGAGGGTAAACGCTGCTAAAAGTGAAAAAAGAAATCGAATACAATATTACGAATCTCTTACTAGTAATCTATTTATTATTAAATCAATAATTTCTTCTTTATAAAAACCGCTTACATGAGCATGAACACCAGCCGGCGTTCCGTAGTCGAAATTGTCGAAAGCGCATCTAGAAAAGCATTTCTGGGACTTGGATTCGATTTTGATTTAGCTGTAATTAAGAGCAAGATCTAAAGCTTATCTCTAACTCTAAAGCTTATCTCTAACTCTAAAGCTTATCTCTAACCATAAGGCTTATCTGTAACTCTAAATCTGGTTCTTTTCCAATATCGGGGGAGCGGAAGGATTATCGGGGGAGCGAAAGGAAAATCGGGGGAGCAAATCGGGGGAGCTTTGGCAGCGCTACTTATGTCCTATATTATACAAACTACCGCCATAAAATCCGCGAATTACCCGTTATTCTCAAACCTTTATATTAGATCACAAAAGTGACTTAAATATCTAACACCCAGCGAAATAGATATTTTCCCTTTGAGCGGACTTTCATCGATTCGCCACAATTGCAAATCCACGACTGGATGACTCTTTTGGTGACGAAATAATCGATTGCCGTCGATTCCTTGAACGCACAAATATCGGAGAAGGCGCATCGTCGTTAAAGTTTGAAAAAAAAAACGTTGCAGTTAAAATACAGCCCCGGAAATGCATTTTTCGAGGGCGCAAAATTTGCTCCCCCGATTTTCCTTTCGCTCCCCCGATAATCGGACCGCTCCCCCGATATTGGAAAAGTACCTCTAACTCTAAAGCTTATCTCTATCTCTAAAGCTTATCTCTAACTCTAAAGATCTAAAGATCTAAAGCTCTAAACTTCTAAAGATCTAAAGATCTAAAGATAAGCGCACTTTTCACAAACCTTCGAAAAATCATGATATTCTCGGTGACGGTGCCCGTCTTGTCGCTTAACACGTGTGTCACTTGACCCAACTCCTCCGGGATTGTCAAGTTTCGCACTTGCACTCGTTGATCCTAGAGTTTACAAAATATTTACAAATATTTCAAGACTAAAGTACCTTTTCACCGTGGTAAAGATGCACGTCTTGTTGCATCAGAAACACCAATCCCAGTTTGATCAACTCGACAGTGATGTAAAGGGACAATGGCACTAAGACCTAGATAGATTTTATTCATTTTCCAACTGATTTTACATCTCTATCAATCTCTAGAAAGTTCAGAATCATGTTAACATGTAAAACTATCGTAAAATAAAAATTAGAGCGATTAATTGATGAACGAAAGAAGTAAATAAGGAACAAAAAAGCCTGGAAAAGCTTTCTGGAAAAGCCTAATACCGTATTTTCTCTAATAGTAGTGCACCCAGAGCGTCGCCTAAATTCCTCGAAATCTCGAGAACCGCTTATCAGAACCTATCGATGTGGGGTCGGAAAATGTAGCTGACGATGAGATCTTGTGGGGGATTTGAGTGTTGAGCTTCTGGGAAAAATTGGTAACCGTAAAATAGTCATCAACTCGGCTACAAATCTACCGTAACAAATCCAACAAAGCTTAAAGAAGCTGGTAACTAAAGGAGAAGCTGATCTCAAAGAAGCTAGTCCCTAATACTATTCCATAAGCTTGCCTAAATTCCTCGAAATCTCGAGAACCTCTTATCAGAACCTATCGATGTGGGGTCGGAAAATGTAGCTGACGATGAGATCTAGCTGATGATTAGAGTGTTGAGCTTCTGCAAAAGCTTGGGAACCGTAAAATAGTCACCAACTCGGCTCACCAGGGTGCACTACTATTAGAGAAAATACGGTAACTGATAAAATAAAAAAAATCTATCAATCTTGGCTAATACTAGCATTTTAAAGAAAAAACTATTTTACAATGCTTTAATTTAAACCTGATAGTTGATGATGAAGGTGCCAATGCTGTAAATCCCCTCTTGCCACCATGGATTCTCGGGTTCAGTCTAAAAATGGTTACAATTGTTAGAAATGCTTTACTTGCGATGTTTTACTAGCTTGCTAATCGAAAAAAGTGAAATTCATCTTACAATTAGCATTGTTCATGTCGAAAGTCATTTCATGTCATTTCAATCGAAAGACTTTCAACTTTTTTCGCTCACCTCGTAGATCGCAGATCCATTCCGATTGTGATTTTGCGCGGTAGTGATCGCTGAACCGGCTGAGCCAATCATGCCTGTAAAATTTCATTTTCGAAACTCAACAAAGATCGTTTTTTTGTTTAAATCAAGACTCACACATAATAATTAAGATTAAAAAGCAGACGAGGATGAACTTGTTCGTGAGGTGCTCAATCTGCGAGCGTTTCGGCTTCGGTCGACCGTTGTTTAACATCACTTTTGTGTCAGGGCCTGAAAAGAAATACTTAGATGTTCGATAACCAGCTTTTATAGGCTAATTAGATATAGCACTTTACTTTAGATCTATCAAAAAAAAAACTCACCAGCATATAAAACTAATCCCTCGACGAAAGTCGTGTTCCTCAAGCGGCATCCTCTCCACAACATGTGATCTTTGCCTGTAAAAATTGCTAAGATAGATAAAGACTCAATTTTACAACAAGTAACAGAGTAACCAGATTCAGCTACTACTCTATTAGAGTTTTGCTAAATCCAAAGAACATTACAAAAAACAAAATATGGTCGGGGCCGGGACTCGAACCCGCGACCTCCCACTTACCGGCCGAACGTTCTACCAATGAACTAAACCGAGGGGCAACCTGGGTCGCCAGGCTAGCCCCTTATGCCTTACTTTAGCTTTACCTAGCTTTGTAAGTCTGGCTCACAACCTAGCTTCTAGTTAGGCCCTGGTCTAGCCTAGCCTAGCCTAGCCTACCGTAGGGTCCAGCTGGACACATCTCCGTACTCTACAATGCGCTGCTTTTCTACAGTACACTCTAGTACATTGTTAACAACTCTCGCAATTCATATGTACTCTTCTTATCCCTCGAAAACTCACTAAAGTTCTCCTTTTGCCTCTGCGCATCCTCTACATAGCCACACATCTCTGAAACTTGAGCTTATAAAACTCTTTGGAGTGACAGCAAACCTTGAAGGCTTTTCGATGGATGCATACAGTGATGATCGATCGGCATCTTCGGGTGAAGGTCTTGGAATTTCGTGTTTTGATCCTGTTCGTTTATAGATAGTTATTGATTTTTAAAGATTACTTCTGACAAAGAGACGATTGTTTTTGGGACAGCTTTTTGCTTCAACGAAGTCTCTCCGTCGAGATTCGACGTCTCAATGAAGCAAGTTCCCTAAAGAATTCATTTCTGTCTGTAATTGATTGAGTAAACGATTGAGTAAACGATTTTATAGCCCCACTTTGGCCCCGAGCAGATTTTTTTGTGGCAGATTTAAGCTATTGGCCACGAATTGGTTTTGAGCTTAGCCCAGAAAATCGGGCTTATGAACAACTCTGATAAGTTGATGTTATCAGAGCTGATAAGTTGATGTTATTAGAGCTGATAAGTTGATGTTATCAGAGCTCGACTCTGATCGTTTTCGGCTTTGAATGTGACACTAGGGCATTTGTTAAGGCTTTTTTTTGTGTATTTTGACAGTCATCTTTGCATTTTAAAATCAAACCGAAGCATCTGAAGATCTTAACAAAAGGATGTCCGCTGGGAAAAGTTCATTGTTCGAGATGTGGACATAGTCGCCGACGAGGATGTGCTGCCATTGCATTCGGCGGAATTGCAGATGCACACTGGAATCTTGCACTAATCAACAAACAATGGGTTAGCAACAATTTTTGAAGCTTGGATTTAAACTCACTGATCCCAAACTAAACACGTGGATTCGTTAATCTTTTTGTCCATTCGATATCGTCGTAAATCTTCGAAAATATCCTAAACTCGATATTTTCGCTGTTTGGATAATTTAGATAATTGAATTATCTAATCTAATTCGAAAAAAAATCCCACCTTGATCGCTGTGGCTATCAAAATACAAGCTACTGGGATGATACCAAGAAAGCGGTTGAATGCTGCGAATTCGGGGAACAAGTTTAGAACTGAAATTGAATGGTTTGAATGGTTGGAATTTGATTGAATTGAATTGAAGAATTGTTTTTCTTTTTTACCAATGATAATGACGAAGAACCAATTCGCCCATCGATGAAACTGTTCCCAGAGGTTTTTGAAGGGGAAAGTTAGCAGGGTGTACTTGGTGGTCGAGATTCGATTGTTCTTGTACTTCTTGTAGTTCGGTGTGCAATAGCGCTCGGCTTGGTGAATGGCGTTTGGTTGAACATGTCGGAAACTGGAAATAGAAAGGTTTACTGTAGTTCTCGAGATTCAGTGATTGATTTACTATAGAATTTTTTCTCTAGACTTGAAATGCTTTAAATCCATATCCATTGCTCAAGCGGTTTTCAAGAATCAGTTTAGATCGATTATAAATGAAAAATGGATTGAATACTTTGAAGAAGCTATACTGTAGCTGTAGCTGTAGCTGGTTACTCTAGCTGTAGTTGGTTACTGTAGCTGTAGCTGGTTACTCTAGCTGTAGCTGGTTACTCTAGCTGTAGCTGGTTACTCTAGCTGTAGTTGGTTACTGTAGCTGTAGCTGGTTACTCTAGCTGTAGCTGGTTACTCTAGCTGTAGCTGGTTACTCTAGCTGTAGCTGGTTACTCTAGCTGTAGCTGGTTACTCTAGCTGTAGCTGGTTACTCTAGCTGTAGTTGGTTACTGTAGCCTTTTCCTTACGGTTTAAACGAATCTTCTCTTAGCCTTGCAACGAGAATAGCTAAATGAATAACTGGATAGACTGGATAGACCTTGTTCTAACCATTAACTTAATTTTTGAATACTTTTTTACATATTTATGCAGTAAAGCCACTAATATAGTATATTTAAGCTATTTTCTTATTATATTTATAATAAGCTACTATATTTAGAACTCAGAAGATTCGTTTAAACCGTAAAGAAAAGGCTACAGTAACCAACTGCAGCTATAGTAACCAACTGCAGCTACAGTAACCAACTGCAGCTACAGTAACCAGCTACAGCTACAGGAACCAGCTACAGCTACAGTAACCAGCTACAGCTACAGCAACCAGCTACAGCTACAGTAACCAGCTACAGCTACAGCAACCAGCTACAGCTACAGTAACCAGCTACAGCTACAGGAACCAGCTACAGCTACAGTAACCAGCTACAGCTACAGTAACCAACTACTACTATTATCGCTTGTTCTTCTCTAAAAAAAGTCTATAAATTCTTACATTTCACAGATTTTAGTGATAGATTTATGAATAGATCTCAAAAAATAAAGCTGCCCATTTTTGTTGTAATTTTCTTTTAAAACAAACTCTTCAATAGGCGCTTGTTCTCGTTGAAAGACTTGCAACGGGTTCAACTGGGTTAGCGTTTGTGTTACCGGTGGTCGGCCTGAAAAAAAAATGGATAAATACATGTGTTTTCTTTTCAAAATCAAAAACTAACACAATAATCTTCTTATTTTTTTCTTTCTTTATTTACCTGGCACCCAAAGGGATGAGTTTTTGTGGTGATGAGAGAGCATCCCATTTGATGGGTGAAATGAGAAAGGAATGGCCAATCTAGAAAATCTGAGGCCTCTCACCCCAACGCAACTTTCTCTAAAAGCCTCTAAAATAATCATTTAAACAAAAAAAATCTATTAAACATACCAAAAGCTTAAAAAAAGATTCATAATTCAATTCAAAAACGGAGGAAAAAGATCTGTTAAACAGGGTTAAAACAACTTTAAAACAAAGCCATTTTGGGACATTTGATCCCCGCCCCTTTTGCCATTGACAATCAAACTTTAAGCTCAAATATCTTAGTATTTGGCTGTTCAATTGAAGTATTTTTTCTACCAATCGATAGAGAAAGACTTGACGCATCTAATGATACCAAGAATATTTCAATTGAACAGCTTAACACCAAGAAATTTGAGCTCAAAGTTGGATATGATCTTGCTTCATTCCAAGCCTAATTTACAAAAAGTATTCGATCTAGAGTTGTAGGACAAGTTCAGTTCAAGTTATTCAACTTACCTGCTTTTCTAAGTCAAGTCTGGTCATTGCCAAACTTTATTGCAGCTTTGGTCAACAAAAAGTACAAGAGTGGCTAACAGATCCTAATTAAAGATAGGATCACTTAGGCATGAAGCTCAGCTCTTCCAAGCCTCTAGGTCAGCTCTTCCAAGCCTTTTGAGAATCGTCGAATTGTTTGTCGAGATTTTTAAGCAAATAAATTCTACAAAGCGAAAGAGAATTCAATGAATAACTTTTCATTCGAGTTATTCAAACCGTACACAAATATCTAACAGTTTTTTCACCCCAAGCTTCGTAGAGATATTTCAATTTTACTGAAATATTGCAATAGAAGCTTATTGAAAAAAGAAAATATTTCATATACATTCTTTAGCAAAATTTATTCTAATAGAAAGCCAAGAAGAAAGTTTTTGCGTTAAGAACTTGAAGCTCAAAAGTTTCTAGGTGATAAAGGTCAATTTAGCCTCAATGAAAGCTAGTAAAAGAAAATTTGAATAGAATTTCTTAGATAAAGTTTATCTGAATAGAAATTCGTTGAAAACTTGAACTCAAGAATTTCCAGATGATAACGTGCAAGTGCTAGTTCGTTTTTTCGTGGTTGTTCGAAAAGATGGCGTCTCAACCAACAGATGAATCAATTTCGATCAAATATAGTTGGAAAAGGGGAAAGTTCAAAAGGTGGATGAATTCAGAAAAGAAGAAAAAGAAGGAGAAGAAGGAGAAGAAGAAGAAGAAGAAGAAAAAGAAGAAAAGAGGGTAGTCTCGGCCCAAGTTTAGTGATTCAGAAAAGATAAGGAAAGGGATGGTTCAATAGGGGAAAGGGGGGAATTTTTGAGAGGAGAGTTCATGGAAACTTTCTCTTTTCCCCAGTTTTCCCATCACTTTTCAGATAGGGGGTTCGGATTAAGCAAACAATGCTGGCAAAAGAGATCTTTTTTGGATCGATTTGTGATTTGATTTGAGGAGAGAGTGCAAAGATTGAATGGATGCAGATACATGTAGTCATTTTAAAAGGCCAGACTTGGTACCGGGATGGCCGACTGGCTATGAGCCCGGTCTCTTAGTCGGGAGGTCAAGGGTTCAATCCCGCCTGCTAGTCTTTTGGTTCTTTTTATCCCAGAAAACTTCTTCTTTTGGACTCCGCCTCTAGTTTGGAATTCAAGTACTTTCGGAGCACACTTTGCTGTTCCAAAAAGCCGAAACCATAGTCTTTGGGCTGGATTTGAGATGATCAAATTGGCTTATTCATGTCATAGCTTGGATCTAGCTTTCAGACAGAATCAAGCCAGACTCGAGATCTTAGCTTGACTTCAGCCGTGCTCTAGCTTTACCTTATCTTGCCTACCAAGTTTAAAAAACTTTTGAGCTCTGCCTGTGCAAGTTTTGAGTAGTGAATTGTCATTGTACAAAAAAAAAGAAATACCGTTTTATCTCAAAAAACAAATACAAAAGACTGTATATTTTTGAGGTTTGACTACCATTTTGATAAGCAATCACAGCAATCACTACAGCAATCACCACAGCAATCTCTACAGCAATCACTACAGCAATCTCTACAGCAATCTCTACAGCAATCTCTACAGCAATCTCTACAGCAATCACAGCAATCACTTTTAGGTCTTTTATTACGAAAAGAATGATCGGAAAATCGTTTCAAAACTCTTCATTTAAAGTTCATAAGTTGAAAGATATGCAAAAAGTTTCATTTTTGAGCTTTTGATAACCATTTTTTTAAAGAATAAATGCATTGAATCGTTTTGAATTTCTCAATTAGATTTCATTTCATAAAAATAGACCAATGATCATTAAATTCGAGTTGATCATGGATCAATTCATGAACTAAAGAAGAAAAGTAATTTGATCGAAAAAAGAAGCACTCGAATTGAGTAAATAAAAAGAAAGAGGGCAATAAAGAAAGAAAGAAAGAAAGAAAGAAAGAAAGAAAGAAAGAAAGAAAGAAAGAAAGAAAGAACCAACGAAAGAAAGAAAGAAAGCAAGCATGCAAGCAAGCAAGAAAGAAAGAAAGCAAGCAAGCAAGCAAGGAAAAAAAAACAGTAAATAAATGATTGTAAATTCAGTAATATTTGCTTGAAATCAGTCAAAATCGATAGATTTTTTTGGGTAAATTTTCGGTTAAAGATAAGACTTTTGAAAGTAAAAAGTTTCGAAAAGCGCAAAAACAATGACGCACAACGAGTACGTAGTTTGAAAAAAACCATTTGTCTTCAAATCAAAAATCTAAGCACTAACAATTCTTAAATGATGTCCAACTAAGAGAAAAAATGCAAAAAGAATCAATTTCGACTTGTCAATTTTTTGTTGATAGGTCGAGAAATTTTGTCTTTTGACCTAATCAATTCTCTTACGATATCCCAGTTGCAATTATTCAAATTCCACTTTCCTGGGCCAATTTTTTTGCGTAGATTCCAAAAAACACACTTTCAGCACGATTTGACGACGGTATCGCGATGAAAAGTGACTTTGAAAATTTCTAGGTTTCAACTTTGGTGTTCAGAAGGGCAAAAACCCGAATAAAATAGAAAACATAGAAAAACTACTACCATCGTGTAGAGCTCAACCTGAGCTTTCAGAATACATAACACTATCAATGGGTTCTGTCGAGTACTTCTGTAGATATGGCGTATCGAAGTTGATGAACTACATGGCCAGCACCGTTGATGTTTTGATTAGGTCAAAAGACAAAATTTCTCGACCAAAACCAAACAAAAAATTGACAAGTCGAAATTGATTCTTTTTGCATTTTTTCTCTTAGTTGGACATCATTTAAGAATTGTTAGTGCTTAGATTTTTTGATTTGAAGACAAAAATTTGTGTACTCGTTGTGTGACGCGTTTTTTGGAGGCGATTCCGGAAATGATTGTATATTAGAAAAAGAGCTCAGAATAATATGATTATTGAAAAAATATTGAAGAATATTGAAAAATCATTGAAATTAACTCCACTAGAAAGGGTGCGTTTCGAAAATTTTGACCAAAAAGTATCCCAAAGAGTTGACGAAGAAGTCGACGACTTTGAGCCAAAATTAACCATTTTTTTTTGGTGTTTCTTCATTTTTCTCCTTTCATTTGTTGATACTACAAGAGAAATGAAAGCTTCAGTGCACTAGAAAGGCTATGTTCACAACATTTTGAGCACAAAGTACAAAAGAGTTTGTGAGTCGTTTTTTTTTTAGTTAAAATTCTGTAACACAAAGTAGCTCTCTAGTGCCCTGAAGCTCTTCATTTTTCATTGCTACAAGAAAAAACAAAGAATTCAATGCACTAGAAAAGGTTTTTTTTACAAATTTCAATCAAAAAGCGGGGGTGGGACAAATGCTACCTTTTTTTGCGCACCTGGACATTTGCGCAACTTTTTTTTTTGCTGGAAAAGGCCTTAGGAAAGGTCGTAGAGCTTCAAAAACGTTTTCGTAGAAGGGAATCGTATGCGTAGATTCAGAATTTTGACAAATCAGACCTCGCTGACACGTCAAATTTGGGCTAAAAGGCAAAAACTGCGGAAAAGCGTTAAGTTGCGTAGTTTTTGCCTTTTAGCTCAAATTTAACGTGTCAGCGAGGTCTGATTTGCTTTGATTTGTCGAAATTCGGAATCTACGCATACGATTCCCTAGTATGGTAACATTTTCGAAGCTCTACGACCTTTCCTAAGGCCTTTTCCAACAAAAAAAAAAGGTGCGCAAAAAAAAGGTCGCATTTGTCCCACCCCCCGGAGACCTCAACTGACTCAAAACAAAGCTTAATTTCAATCAAAAAGCACATCAAAAATTTAAACATTACATATTTGCAAATAAAAATAAATCAATTTTCATTTTTTTTTTTTTGTAAATTTTGAGAACTTGAAGAATTTGTGGAAATTTTTGGAAATTTCTGGAAAACCTGTTTTCAAAATTGAGAAATTTTACGTTCCGCTTGTTTCGATCGTTTTTGAAAGTTTTAAAGACAAGAAAAAGATTAAAGAAACTCTATATAAAATTCATAAAACAAAGACAAAAAACAAAATTTTTTGAAAAGATTTCATCAAAAAAAATTTTCTTTACTTTTGCCTTTAATATCGACTATCAAATCAAAGAAATACGAAAAATGAGGGAAAACGAATCGTTTGATGACACATTTGACGAAAGAAAATGCAAAAAATTCGCTCGCTTTCCACAAATATCGTCAAAAAAAAAAAACGACTTTTTTTAGAAGAAGGAATATTGTGCAAGAGCCATTAAAACTTCCTTTTAGAAGCGGAGAGTTCGTCATAGCTTTGATCTGTGGGTTTTGCAAGAATCTAGAAATAGATATGAAATGAGATGAAGATTTAGCTGAGAATTGGAAATAATGAAAAAGAAAGAAGGATGACTGCTCCCCGGAATTGAACTAGGATCGCTCGAGTGGCTAGATGAGTCTTTTAACCACTGAACCAAAGGCTGCGCCAGTAAAGCGCCTTAGAAAAGAGAGCCAAACTCCACGCTTACTAAAGAATGCGAAAAAGTGAAAAAGAA